CAAGCCATGAGGTTCCATGACTAAACAAGCCATAGTTTTCAAAGCATTTTTCTTTCACAAGCCAATCCCTTTCTTTAAAACATTTTCAATGCCAAAATCCTTTTAAAAACAGGCTCACAATGAAAAGGGATAGAAATCCTACCTCGCACTAACAAACCTGGGACTAGCGTTGCCTTTTCTGGCTTCCGCTTCCTCAAGCCCCTTCAGTCTGAATCCTCAGCGATCACTGATGCAAAACAACACTTTAGGATTAATTCTCATTCCTAAAGTAATCCAAATCTCAATTTCCAACCAAGATTTCCTATTAGTGTGCCCTAATCTATTTTCATGTTTCAAATTATCATTCCAAGGGTTTTCAATCTCAAAATAAGGATTAACAATGCTAATCCATTTATCTTAAGTCCCCAAATGAAGCTAATTTGGGTTCTCCCTGAAAACAGGGGTCAAAATAGCATTTTTCAGGCCAAACAGGGTCAAACCCATGTGCATCGGTCGACCGGTGACAGAGTAGTGCAACACTACCGGTCGACCGGTGACAGAGTAGTGCAACACTACCGGTCGACCGGTAATGTGCACACCGGTTGACCGGACCGGTCGACCGGTCAGCCTGTAATCCGGTTGACCGCATTGGTCGACCGGTTTCCATGTGATCTGGTCAACCGCACAGGTCGACCGATGGAATCAGCTGCGCGAGAGAAGCTCATGGAAATCAGTCCAAAACCTGTAAATCCAGTCCCAAATCGAATATTTCAAAGGAAACCCACTAGATCTGGGTTCTAGGTCCTAAAACAAGTCCAAGGAACCCAAGATCTCCAATTTCTACTCTAGTTTTGCTCAAAAATCATCAAAATCCGGTTTGAACCAAAAATGAATTTTGAAATTCAAAAACTTGAGATTCAAGAGAGGTTCTTTCAGTAATCTTACCTCGAATCCTTCTCTTAACGTTGAAAACTTCTTTAAATCTTTTCTTAGTTTAAGATCCGTTTGATTTGGGACACAAATGAGAGAGAGAGAAAGAGAGTGAGCGGGAGAGTGAGAGTGAAGGAGAGAGAGAGAGTGCACTAGAAAGGAAGGAGAAAGGAAAGAAAAAGGGAAAAAGGAAAAGAAAAGAAAAGGAAAAGGAAAAGAAAATGACATGTGTCAATATTTTAAAAGAGCAGTCCAGAAATGCGCCCATACACACTTCTGGTTTAAAATAAATTATTAAGAATAATTTAAAGACCTTGGAACTATTTAAACTCACACGTGTCAGAAACATTTATTAATTAAACTCAATTAATAATCCAGATTAGGCACACTAATAATCTCAATTATCTTAATTAATCTCAATTAATTCTTCAGGGTGTTACAGAAGCTGGGAGCTAAGATAAGTAATTAATTGTTGCATCTGATCAGAGGATAGTTGTTCAGAAGACGAGATTGAGGTGGGCAAAGGTGGCTAGCGAGTCGGTGGAGAGAGGGCAGTTGTAGTAGCAGCTGTTGGTGCAGACAAGAGAACCCTATAGTACTCAGAGGCAGGGGTAAGATGAGATGTGGATTGAAAAGAGTTCTGATGGGCTTGGGCTTGTAACCTGGTGGGAAACCATGCAGCCTATAGCAACAGTCCACTGAGTGCCCTGTGAGACCATAATGTGAACAGATAAGCCACTCTCGTTGAGGTTTGGGCTGTGAGGAGGATACCACTGCTAGAGGGGCCACCGGAGTTGGCAGCAGAGGCGGAGAAGAGGAAGAAACGCTAAAGGCCAAAGAATCTGCCGGAGCAAAGGATGAAGGAGGAGTAAGTGGCTGAAACCGGTTGTTGTTGTTATGCTGCCCGCCACGAACCATTCTCATAAATAGAAAGAAGAAGAAGAAGAAGAAGAAGAAGAAGAAGAAGAAGAAGAAGAAGAAGAAGAAGAAGGGTATTGCTCTGATACCATATTAGAGAAAAAGTTGAAGAATAATCTCATATTCCCATATATCGCAATGTACAACTGAAAATTATAGAGGCAAGCTTGGAAAGTTCACGTATCCCAAGCCTGACTAGTGGCATATCAGAATAGCTGGCATAACCGAATAGCAGTAGAATATTCTAAGATACATAAAGCAATTATTTCTCAAAGGCTAATAAAAAGAAAAAGAATAATTAAAAATTTAATAATCTTCTAGTCTCCGTATATAATTGAATAATTCTTATAAGAAAAAGAATAATGGTCTAAGTATTGAAAAATGAAAAAGAATAATTAAAAATTTAATAATCTTCTAGTCTCCGTATATAATTGAATAATTCTTATAAGAAGAAGAAGTCTAAGTATTGAAAAAAGAAAAAGAATAATTAAAAATTTAATAATCAAATAATGTGGTCAAGATTGTCTTTTGTTAATAAACGTTTACGAATCTCAAATTATACTGTTTGATTGACACACATAAATAAATATATATATATATATATGTTTTTACATATTATTTAGGGTATGCTGATTTGAGTTGTGTATGTGAGAGAAAAATATATAGTAAAAAAGTTAAATTTAAATTTTTGTGATAAAAAATACTGTAGTAATATGATTTGAGTCATAAAATGAACAAAATCTTAATTTCATATAATGTTATTAAAATACATAATATGTAAATTTAACCTTTAGAAAGCACAAATTTTTTTTAAGGGTTTTAAATGTGTTTTAAGAAAAGAATCTTTCTACATCTTAGTCCGAACTAAAAAATAAATAAAAAAAAAAGAATGGTTCTATTCACACTATTCTTTTTACCCTCCACACCCCCCTTAAATTAAATATTTCTTATTACAAAAGGACTCTTAAATAAAATGACCAAAAAAGTCAATAGACTTAACTACACCATTAATTTTATTACACAAAAGAAACTAATATAGAGTTTTTTTTCTCTTCACACACCCCACATATCATATTCTAAATTCTAAATTATTTCTATTTCAAAAATCTTTAGCAAATAATTTTCACGTTTTCAATGACTATTCAAAAAAATTACATGGAGGTAGTTTAATTTTCTTTATTATTTTTTATATGAAGATTATTATTATTATTATTTTACTTTTGTTTTCATTTTGTGTTCATATTTGTTTGCCAATCAATCTTTTAAGTAAATCATTTCACTTTTTTTTATAATGTCAGACTACGTGATTTTTCCTTTTGATTCTTTTTTTTCAATGATGACTTGATCAATATTCAATTAATATAATACAACTGAGTTTGCATTTTTTTTTCTCATTTGCCTTTTCATTTATTATTTTAGTTTTTATTTTTTTTCCTACTGAACTTTAAAAAAAAAAAGCTCTATGCCTAAAGTTTTAACAACAAAATAAAAAGATATAAATAAAAGATAATATTAAAGTGATTATAAATTAACTTAGGGTGATTTTACTCACACTTCTTTTTTACTCTCTATACCCCTCCTTCTAATTACACACCCTTTGTAATCTTCAAATGATTAAATTTACTTTTTACATACTCCAATAATTTTAAAATTAACCTTGCCTATTTTGAAAAAAAAAAAATTAATTTTTTGACCACTTTATTTTTCTCTTTACACCCACCATTTTATTTTAATTTGTTATTTAAAAAAATAAAAATAAACCAAATGGCATAACAACTCAAAAATAATAATTAAGTTGAACAAAATGGCAAAATAATTTTTCCTAAGAAAGGACAAATAATCATCTTATATTAATACATATGATTAGAAAAGATAAAATGGTAAAAAAAAATGCCAAACTTGTTATGTAGCACATGAGCATGGAAAAAAAAAAAGAATGAAAAAAAAACGCAGTGAACTTAACTTTATAAAAGAAAAAGAGAGAAGAAAAAAACGAAGGGATTAGTCTTAAAAAACAAAATGATTGGCAAAAAAGATATAAACATGAAACAAAAAATGCAAATGAACACATACTCCAAATAAAATAAAAAATTATACGTACTTCTATGGAACGTTTTGGAATAATCATTAAAAAAGTTTTAGGGTATGTTTATATATTACAAAATAATAAGGTCTGGAGTGTGTGAGAGAAAAAAATTATCATTAATTTTTTTGTAGTATAATTAATTATGTAAGTCTATTATGAATGTCCTTTTTGGTCATTTTATTTGAGGACTTTCTTGGAATACAAAATTTTAATTGAAAGGATGTGAATAGACCACCCATTAACTTTTGAACCTGCCGAAGGCCGTCGCGATTTTCCTTTCGTTTCTCAGCAACATAAAAGCAAAAGAAAAAGAAAAATGAAGCTTTTATCAGAACACAATCAAATCACAAGCCACAGCAATATAAATACATATTTCATCCCCAAAACTCAAAACTCTAACTTGCTAACGCAAATAGAAAGAAGAAAGAGAAGAAGAAGTAGAAGAAAGAATAGGTTGAGGAGATCTGATTGGGTGAGGAAAGACGAAGAGAAGAAGAAGAAGATCAGAGGTTTGGCCATTGAATTTTTTTGTTTTTTTGTTTTTTAATGTTTTATTTTGTTTAAAATAATCATTTTTTTGTTTAATTTTAATTTGCTCCTCATTAAGCTGTGCACGTGAGGCACACATGATAATTCCGTCCAATTATCTAATGGTGTTATCAATTGGACTTGTTATGCAATAAATTTTATAGTTTAGGGGTCAATTGTTAAGATTAAAAATTTAATGGCTGAATTACCAAATTCATAAAATTTAAAGGGCATCCGTACAAAAAAACCTTAAATTAATTAGAAATTAAACAACATAAATATTAATATCAAATCAAAACTCTAACAATAACAAATTAAAACCTAAAAATTAAGGGTCCGTTTAATTTATTAATTCGAATTGAGATGTGATTTTATGTGAGAATTTTTTATTGTAGTAAAAAAATTAAATATGACTGTTTATGATAACTTTTTATTATAGTAAAACTCAAATTCTAAACTTAAATCGATAAAATGAAGAGAACCTAAATCTAAAATAATAGTATCAGACCAGAAATGGTTCAAATGGGGGCTAATTCTTACCCTTATACCCACCCATCCTTATATAATATTTCCATACCCGTCCTATTATGGACAAGTGTCTGTACCCGTAGATAACATGCCGTTCCTAAAGACGTGAAGGAAAAAAAAGTGGATTAAAAAAAAAAACCTGTTTAGTGGTTGTAAGATGCTAAGTTTGGAGTTTGACTCAAAAATAAAATTCACTTCTTTCCTTCTCACCATACGAGGGACAAAAGAGAAATGTTAACAGGAAGAGTAATGTTTTTAGAAACCTTAGTGTGTAGGGGATGAAAAAACTTGATGTGTATTTAAGGAATGATTTTTGAATCTTTTCAAGTTTTTCTTTTTTTTTTTATGAAAAAAAAAAGAAAATGTTACCGCTTCAATTTGTGTGGTTATGAATTGGACAAAGCAATGGATCCATTAATGTTGGTGAAATCACCATCTTGCTGGTTTTGAAGTTTCAACTTTTTGCCCCAAGTTCCAACTTTTGATTCCTACAGTGGCAAAAAATTTTCTTTATTTTAATAGAACCCACTAATCATCACTAGAACTTTTTTTTTTCTTGGTTCTATATCGAATTAATAGAGTTTACATGTCAAACAATAAATGCAGAGAGTAATAAAGAGAGTGACATAAAAATTATCGCTAATATTTCTCTCTATTAATTTATTTAAAGAGATCAAGGTCTATTGAGCCCGTCTTAATCCGTCCTCCATCGGACAAATCGAACCGGTCCTTACCCTATATGGGCTGCGGGTGGCTATATCACCTATCAAGTGTGGAACCAGGAACTCCATTAGCCATATGACTATCAATAAAGGCAATTCAATCATAAATTTTCTTGGTCCTCTATTTATTGTCTCTAGAGATGGCAAACAAGCTGGACCGGCTGTTGGGATGTCGGCTTGGTCCATCGTCGGTCGTCCATTGGACAGACCGGCCTGACCTGCCCCATAAGCCGTGTGAGGCTGCAGGCTGCAACCTATAACAGATTGATATATCAGTGTTGCTATAACAATGAGAAATTTTATCGGCTCTCTATTCACTTTTCAGTTAGAGATGTAGAAGGAGTCGGACCGTCCATTGGGCCACTCCCACTAAGTCCATCTATAATGGGTGGCTATTAGATATCAGTTTTGGAACTCTAATAGCCATATAATCCTCAACAAAGGTATCATATCAGCAATTTATTACTTTTTCTTTTTTTTTGCTGATCATCAGCAATTTATTATTTGATATGGAAATACAGATCCTTTACACATTGACATATACACATATCCATACCTGAAACTCTCAAACAAGTGGCGAAATCCTTCAAACAAAAAACTAGTACATAGAAAGTCCAAACTATTTATTCAGAAAATGGGTGCCTAAGTAGTCCATAAGATCTCCATACTCATGCTTCTCTAGGCATTTTTAAGGTACCGTTCGGTTATGAAGGCCTTCACTTAACATGCTTGATGAGCCAAGCCAACAAGTCCCTATGAGCCTCGTCTGCACGCTTACAAGCAGCTTCATTACGAACATCATACCTAATGGTCCAACCATGCGCGACTCCCGGATATATTTTCACAAAGGAATCAATCTGTGCATGATGAAACATCATTTAAAGTGAAAACCGAAAATCATTAACCATTCATGACAATAACGAACTAATCTCAAAGACGAGAAGTGCAAAGGGCAAAGCGTGTCGGATATTGTTTTGAGGGAGGATGTTCATACCTCAGGCTTTGCCTTTAAGACCTCCTCGAATTGTTTCACAAGCGGCGGGGGAGAAATTTGGTCACGCTCACCTCCAAGTATGGCAATTGGAACCTTAACCTCTGAAAGGAATTTAAACCACTCATAACGGTTAACTTCTCTCTCTTTATCTTGCCTATCACTCTTACATGTCAAGATCAGTAAAGTACTCAATAATACATGAAACATGAGAGGAAAAGACTATAAATTCAGTAAAGAAAGTTGTACAACATTTTAAATTGAAATGTTTCAAACGACAATATGTGCCAGATATTAAAAGTGTATTTCTCAGTAAGTATGCTTCTCAAATACTTAAGATTTAAGAGCCGGAAGCATACCTTTGATATCGTCTACAGCGACGAAGGAAGGATGTAAAAGCGCAGCAGCCTGGATAAAGTTGGTGAACTTTGAAAGTTCAACTACAACCTTGCCTGAGAACAGGATATATATGAGTACACGCGTTTGATGAATTCGCTGATTGAACTAACAATTTTCGACTCAACCAACAACCGTTCGCATAGAAATTCCAAGCAAGGAAGCATGTGAAATATAAACTTACCACCCCAACAAAAGCCAGCAGCACCTATTGCAGAAAACCCTTTACTCTTTAAATCTTCGGTAACTGGTTTTGCTTCTTCAAATCCCTTATCCTATCAACATCAATGCGCGATAGATAATCATTATAAATCTAAGCAAAAATACAATAGCAGATAAAAATTAGCACTGCCACTTTTAGGGAACTTCTAGTGTTTACAACTTTAGCAATAAAGTATGAACTGTCAAACAAAATTCAGAGTCATCTTTGAAAAGACAACAGAAAAACTAATTTGTGATGAAATTCAGCAACAACTTAAAGAATCATAGATTCACATTAGAGATTTTCGTCTGCCAAAACTTATAAAAACATCTAAAGAATCTGAACCAACCGTTCCATGGTCTTTTAGCCACACTGGTAAAGGCCTGCTTGCATCGCCGGCCACAAAAGGATCGCCATGAAAGAAGTCGGGAACAGCCACAAAGAATCCAGCAGCCGCAATCTTGTCGGCCAGCTTCCTTTACAACAGACAAGCAACCGGCATCAGTTTCCCAGATAGAATACAAGAATTTAATTTATTTTCTTTCTAACAAAATAATAGATTGCATTTCAAGGAAAGTTCATCTAAATGCGTAGGTAGCAACTGGAATCATCCCTTCCCCACATCATTGTTATCAAATTCGATATTCTAAAAATAAACAAAGAATAATATAATCTGGCAAATTAAGCAAAACCCAGAAATGTAGCTGCAGAAAACAGGTATGGAAAATCCATAAACCTCAAGTTTGGAGCTTCATATCCTGCAATAATTGAAAATTCTAAAAAGTTAGAAGATGAAACAACAAAGCTAATATCACAGCAGGTTAAAGATGATATCCACAATCGCATGTATCATTTAATTTATAAAATTTTTCCAACATTTGTTTCAAACCATCTAACTAGCTACACGCCTACACCATTGAAGCAGCTGGTCAAAGAACGAAAGGCATAATAAACCATCTAACTTTCCACCTTCAAAGACTCCATTTTTCTCAGAAAAAAATCAAACAAGAACATCTATGTTATGTACATTTCAAGAGCGGGGGAAAAAAAACAAAACAAAAGTATCATTAATCTTCACAAGACCCAAAAAAAAAAAAAAAAAAAGAAAAATCACTGAATTCCATAAAAAAATTTTAAAAAAAGACATACCATAAACATCAGATACAAGGAGAACTGCAAGCTTGGAACTGGGAGTGCCAGTGACATAGGAGTCTAAACCACCAAGCTTCTGAACATGTCCTGCTCCACTACTTGGGTTTAGAGTTGGAGGGTTTGAGCAACATTCAGGACCTGACATTCTTCTTCACTCTTTTTTTTTTTTTTTTTTTTTTTTTTTCAGAACAACAAAAGTCACAAACTCACATAAGTGTCTATCTGGGCACCAGAGAAGATTATATAGCCAGCTCCGAAAATGTGTGAGCTTTGTGGGTATACATATACATATACATATACATATATATATATATATGTATGTATATATATACACACACTTACACACTTATACGTGAGAGGAATATGGATATTTGTGTTGGGTGAGCAAGACATTCCAGCAGTTTCCACTGCAGAAGTAAATATTTGCAATTTGCATCGTCTATAACGTTACCCCGTTAAAAGGACTTTCATGACCGGAATAAACGGCCATTTTAACTATTGAATTAGTTTTTCAACGGATAATACATAATTATAACTATTACAAATCAGACAATTGAAAAATTAATTCAACGCTTCTTATCAATAAGTAAAATAACAGTTCTTATTATAAAAATTTCATGAAAGAGTTTCCTTTAACTAAACAAATACTCCGATTAGGTCCTTCGAGGATTTTGTAATAAATAAAGGGTGTAATATGAAACTTATTTCATCCAATAATTAAAAAATTTAACGATAAAAATTTATTTGTGTAGATTAATGTTATACTTTTTAAAATAATTGTTGTGACGATAAATAAATTCTAATTTTATTTTAATTATTCGGATGTAAGATATTCTTTTGTTAATAAACGAAGATGAATTCCAAATTATACATTTGATTCACATATTATTTACATATTAAGGTGTAATTTTAATGGTTATTATAATATTTATGCATTAATGAGTATTATTATTTTATCTATAAGTTATTGATCGAATGGTTGCAATAAATTGAATACTTCTAAAAATAACAATGATAATTGATGAAATTAGATTTTTATCTCGTTACGTTATTAAATTTTTATATTTTATAGGTAACCACCGTAACAACATAACCATTAAAAACTAATCCTTACACACACACACACATATATATATATATATATATATCTATATAAGACGTACAAAAAAAGAATAATAAAAAAATATATCTTGAGGATATTGTTGTGAGTTTGATCCCGTGTTATATATAGAAAAAGACATAATAGTTAATTTAACCCTAAGAAAGCACGATATCTTGAGGATTTTATAAATTGAAAAAAATAGATAATTTATCTTTAAGAGTGTGTGAGTTTGGACCTTTATCGCTTATTCTTGATAAATATCATTTTGTCAGTGTAATTATTTGACTAAAAAAGTTATGAATTAAGAGTAAAGAGTAAAAATCTTAACCCATATAATTTTAAGTGGTTTTTGTCAAGATTATCATTTTAAATTTATTTTAAGAAAATAATCTTTCTAAATCCTAGTCCAAAATTTAAAAAAACAAAAAAAAAAGTTGTTAAAATCACCATATAAGAAATACAGATGGTCCATTCCATTCTTCTGTGACCTGTCCCCCTCTCTTTATATATTTCTTTCTTTCTTTCTTTAATATATCATGTCAATTAAGACGTTATATTTAAATGCCAAATAAGATAAATATATATTATGTAGTATTTTGTTGACATAACATAATATTATCAGGGACACAAAAGAAGAGAAAAAAAAAAGGTGGATCCAAAGAAAATCTGTTTAATTGTCGTAAGATATGAAGTTTTGAGTTTGATTCAGATATGGCCCCGTTCACTTCGCTGATTCGAGTTTAGAATTTGAGTTTTTCTACAGTAAAAAGTTCTCACAAACAATCACATCTAACTTTTTTACTACAGTAAAAAATTCTCACATAAAATCACATCTCAACTCAAATTCTAAACTCGAATCAGCAAAGTCAACATGACCAAAATTCACTTCTTTTCTTCTCACTGTATGAAGGACAAAAGATAAAAAAAAAAAAATTTTTGAGAGGGAAAAGTAATGTTAAAAGAAACCTACTTTTGTTAATTTTTGAATCTTTTATATCTATTTCTATAACCACTGTTTTAAACAGGAAAAGGCATGATAATTGACGCTTTTGAAGAAAATAATGGATTGTGTTAGTTGGCTTCTAAGAAAGTATAAATTGTACCACGACAGAACTGTTGTTTGATGTTGCACCTTTTTTTTTTTTTTTTTTGATGATTGATTGCACGTTGATTTTTCAATTTAAAGATATCGCTTTTGGTAGTTCAATCAACAGTATTAAGCAATCACGTTTTCTTGATCAGCCAAAAAAAAAAAAAAAAAAAAAAAAAGAAAAAAGCAATCACATTTTCTTTTTACTTGGTCCTCTACCTCTACTAATTTTATTGATAGATGTCAAACGTGTTGGGCCGTGGCTTTTGTCTCCTATTAGACTTGCCTGGTGACCTAGTCCTTAACAGTTGACATGTGGAGGTTGTCACGTATTAAATTTGAAAGAAAAATAGTAAAAAATAAGTCAATATGAAAAGTTTAAGAAAATATATAGATTAATTTTTAGTTATAGAAATTAATAGGCTATAACTTGTTAAGTTATAGTTCATAATCAGATAAGTTATAAACAAACTTGTCAAGTTATGGTTTATAGTCAGACAAGTTATGGACAAACTTGTCAAGTTATGGTTCATAGACAGACAAGTTATGGACAAAAATCGTGAATTATGGGTAATAATTTGTCAAGTTATGGTTCATAACCAGACAAGTTATGGACGAAAACAATAATTTGACATATTTATTAACTTATGTAAATTATTAGCCTATTAATTTTAATTCATCTTAAGTCTTAGCATATTTCTCTCTTTCTCCTAATTTGAAATTCTATAGAAGTATTTCTAATGTAATATTATATTTCATGTGTTAATTATAAATTTATTATATGAGTATAAAAAACTTTATCAAATGCAATATTATTTATTGTGCTAAATTTGTCATATTGTATATTTTGTGGTAAATTTCTCACTAAATATAGTATATTACAAATTTAACATTCGGTTAGTATTAGTTGAAATGTTTATTTTGTCGTGTAGTCATTACATTTTTTATATTTTTAAATTATTTTTTTTTAAAGTTTACTCTTACAACTTTCAAAACTTTACAATTATAAAAAAAAATAGATTTAAGGCCCGTTTAGTTCACTGATTCGAGTTTTTAATTCGAGTTGAGATGTGACTTTATATGAGAGTTTTTTACAGTAGTAAAAAAGTTAGATGTGACTGTTTCCGAGAGCTTTTAAAACTCGAATTCTAAACTTGAATCAACGAAATAAACAGAACATTAGTATTTTAATTAGCATTATACATAGGAGAACAAATGAAATAATATACCATTTCATACTTTTAGATGCCAAATATATAAATGGTATAATTATTTGTACTAGAGATGGTCTCATAACCATATATCTTGACAAATGCAGTTATTGGCTTATCAATTTATCTAGAAAAAATGAGACAAATTCCCCTTAAAAGTGCACGGCTCTTAAATTTTTACCCTACTTTTGATCAATACTTTTTACTCAAAAAACTATACTAGTTACAAAAATATTAATAAAGAGTAAATGATAAAAATTTTAAACACTACGCTTAAAATCTATAATGTACTCATTTATCTATTCAATTTCTTTAGAGATGGCAGCGAAGCAGGACTGTCCATTGGGCTGCTTGGCTTAGTCCAATTGGACACAACCATATGATCCTCAACAAATGTATCAATCAGAAATTTATTATTTGATGTAAATATCAAGACCCTTTACAGATACACAAATATGCAGACCTGGAACTCTTAAACAATGCCCAAGTCTTCTTTCAAACAAAACTAAGGTACATAGAAATAGAAACTCTCAAAACATGAGTGACAAATGAAGTTTTCCATAACATACACACTTTTGCTTCTCTAGTGTAACAGTAAGTTAAAATTCCGGTACCGGTTGGCAAACGAGCTGGGCCGGTTGTTGGGAATGCTCGACAGACCAGATATGCTCTCTCCATAAGCCGTGTAGGACTGCAGGCCACTGCAGCCTATAACAGGTAAGGGTAGTAATTTGTGTTAGTGCGTTATATTTGTGTCAATCTGTTTATTAATCACGTTAGAAAATATCAATCTAAACACGATATGTTTATTAAACGTGTTAAAAATATCAACCCAAACACGACCCATTTATTAATCGTATTAATCGTGTTAACCCGTATAACTCGTTTAAATTAATATATTAAATAAATAATTAATATAATTATAACTTATTTAACACGATCAAAACATGTTTAACATGTTTATTGGTCAATTTATCTTTTCCTTTACGAAAAATAAATGAATTTTACCTACAAATATTAAAATTCACATTATTTGTATTTAATATGTCATATAAACTTTAATGTTATATCATGTATCATTAGATTACAAATGACACATATATGGCCCGTTCACTTCGCTGATTCGAGTTTGTAATTCGAGTTGAGATGTGATTTTGTGTGAGAACTTTTTACTGTAGCAAAAAAGTTAGATGTGACTGTTTCTGAGAGCTTTTTACTGTAGCAAAACTCGAATTCTAAACTCGAATCGACGAAATGAACGGGGCCATAGTTAATCGTGTTAATTAATATCACTTCGTGTTAAAAAGTCAATCATAACCTAACTCATTTATTAATCGCGTTAATCATATCAACCCGATTATGACATAAATTTATTTATAATAAACTCAAACCCGCTAACTTTATACGAGTTCTAAATCATATCATTATGTCGCTATCTGAATTGCCAGCCTAATAACACGTGGCTATTACATTCCGTGTTGGAACTCCAACCATATAGTCCTCAAAGGCAACCCAATGACAAATTTTTCTGGGTTCTCTATTCACTTTCCTCATAGATGTCAAAGGAGTCAGACAGTCCATTGGGCCACTCTCACATAGTCCATCTTCCGTTGGACTGGCACGCCCTGGCCCAAAACTCATGTGGGACTCCACCACAAAACAGGTGGCTATCACATACCAGTTTTGGAACTCTGGTAACCATATAATCCTCAACTAAGCTACCATATCAGAAATTTATTATTAATGTACATATCCACATCCTTTACACATACACACATGCCTCAAACGCTCAAACAAGGCCCAAATCCTTCAAACAACTAGGGTACATAGAAAGTCCAAACTATTTATTCAGATCAAGGGTGACTAGGCACGTTTCGCTGATTCGAATTTTTAATTCGAGTTAAGATATAACTTTATATGAGCTTTTTACTGTAATAAAAAAGTTAAATGTGACTATTTCTGAGAGCTTTTTACTGTAATAAAATTCAAATTTTAAACTCGAATCGGTGAAATGAATGGGACCTAAGTAACATAAGATCCATACTCGTGCTTCTTTTAGGTAAAATTAAGGTACTGGTTGGTTATGAAGGCATTCACTTAACATGCTTGGTGAAAAATTCCAACAAGTCCTTGTGAGCCTCCTCTGCACGCTTAGAAGCTGCTTCATCTTTAACATCATACCTGACAGTCCAACCATGAGCGACTCCCGGATATATCTTCACAAAGGTATTGATCTGTACACGATGAAACATCATTTAGAGTGAAAATCAAAAAACATTAACCATTAATGACAATCACAAACTAATCTCAAAGACAAGACGAACACAAATAGTTTGGTAAAGAGGCAAAGGAAAATGTAGAAAGCATGTTGGATATTGTTTTGATGGAGGATGTTCATACCTCTGGCTTTGCACTTAAGACCTTCTCAAATTGTTTGACGAGCGGTGGAGGAGAAAGGTTGTCATGCTCAGCTCCAAGTATGGCAGTTGAAACCTTGACCTCTGAAAGTATTTTAAAGCATCGAGAACATTAATTCTCTTTCTTTCTCTCTCTCTCCTCTTATACTCGTATGTCAAGATTAATAAAGTACTCAAGAATATATGAAAGTTGAGAGAAAAGACTATAATTTAAGTGAAGAAAAGTTGTTCAACATTTTAAATTAAGAATATCTTTTTCCAAGTTGCTTCAAATGGTTATAGGTGCCACCTATAAAAGTGTCTCTCAGTAAGTATCCTTCTCAAATACCTTTAGAGTTAAGAGTCTCGAGCATACCTTTGATATCGTCTACAATGACGAAGGAAGGATGTAAGAGCGCAGCAGCTTGGATAAAGTTGGTGAACTTTGCAAGTTCAATTACAACCTTGGCTGAGAACAGGATTTATATGAGTCAGCTTAATCAAAAAATTGCTATATGTGTTTAATGACGTCACTGATTGAACTAGCAATTTTCGACTCAACCCTTCGAATAGAAATTCCAGACCAATGAACTAAAGAAGCATGTACAATAATAAACTTACCACCCCAACAAAAGCCAGCAGCAACTATTGCAGAAAACCCTTTACTTTTTAAACCTTCGATGACTGGTTTTGCTTCTTCAAATCCCTTATCCTATTAAACCAAGTACAAGGCATAAGGTTCCGAGATTTCAATATGAGCGTGCAATAGATAATCATTATAAATGTAAGCAAAAATATATAGGAGAGATAAAAATTAGTCTTGACACGTTTAGAAAACTGAAGTCAGACTCATCCTTGGAGAGAGCTAATTGTGTGAAAAATTTTCATAGACAACAGAAAATTTTATTTTAAGATGAAATTCAGCAACTGCTTCAAGTATAACACTAGAGATTTTTCCCTCACTCCCCCAAAACTTATTTAAGCAGCTAAAGAATCTCAACCAACCGTCCCATGGTCTTTAATCCAAACTGATACAGACCTGCTAGCATCGTTGGGTACATAAGGATCACCGTGTAAGAAGTCGGAAACAGCGACAAAGAATCCAGCAGCTGCAATCTTGTCGGCCAACTTCCTTTACAACAGACAAGCAGCTGGCATTAGTTTCCAAGAGAGAATACAACAATGTAAGTGTCAGCTTGAAATGAATCATCCTTTACAATTTTTTTTTTTTTAATTTAAATAGATTGTATTTCAAGAAGGCTTATCTAAGTGGCAGCTTGAACCATCCTTCCCCACATTCTTAGTTATGGAATTCAACAGCCTAAATTGACAAAAAATCTACATTCCAACAATTAAATCTGACAGATTAAGCAAACCCCAGAAATGTAGTAGCAGAAAATAGGTTAAGGAAAATCCATATGTACCTCAAGTTTGGAGCTTCATATCCTGCAATAATTAAAACATTTAAAAGTTAGAAGATGAAACAACAAAGCTACCATCAGAGCAGGTTAAAGATGATATCCACAATCGCATGATCACTTAATTTATGAAAATTTCCTACACTTGTTTCAAAGCAAAAATCCCAAATTGGGAATAGGAAGCTCAAAAAATGAAGGCAGACATCTAACACCCAAAAAAAGAAAGGATACAACAGCACATCATAAAGCAAGAGAGAGAATTATTTAAACTATCTAAACTTTCCCTGTTCAAAGACCTCATTTTTCTCAGAAAAATCAAACAAGAACATCTATGCACATTTCAAGAGGGAAAAGAAAAAACCAAAAACTAAAAGTAGCTATTAATCTTCACACCCCAAAATCCAAAAACCCACAAGAGAAAAAGGAAATTTTACCGAATTCCAGAACCAAAAAATTAATAATAAAAAAAGAGGACACATACCATAAACATCAGATATAAGAAGAACCGCAAGCTTGGAATTTGGAGAGCCAGTGACATAGGAGTCTAAACCACCAAGCTTCTCAACATGCCCCGCTCCACTGCTTGGGTTTAGAGTTGGAGGATTTGAGCAACACTGAGGACCTGACTTTTTTTTTTTTTTTTTTTTTTTGCAGAACAACAGATGTCACGAACTGAGAGTGTCTATCTGGGCACTTGAGAAAACCAGATTATACCGAGCACTGAAAATGTGCGAGCTTTGGGGGTATATATGATAGGAATATCTCTGTCTTGGGTAAAAGCAGGAGATTCGGATTCCAGCAGTTTCAACTGGAGAAGTAAATATTTGCAATTTGCATCATCTATAACGTCACCGTGTACATACCTTGGGAGATTTGTTTTTGTTTTTTTGTTTTTTTTTATCAACTATTCGAGTTTTATTATAATAAAAAAATTTTAAAAATAATTATATTTAATTTTTTTATTATGATAAAAAATTATTATATAAAGTTATATTTCGAGTAGCGAACTAAACGAACTCTTAATTTTAAAACACACTCAAAAAAAACTTTTAAAGTTGGGTGTCCATGTCACTCCATTATCCGGTAAGTTGGCATGCTAATAGGATTAGTTTTTGATAATTAAATTTTATTAAATCATATTATATTAAAAAAATATGTAAAATAAATCATTTTTAATATAAATTTAATAACTAAAAAATAGAGAACTGTCAATTTTTTTTTTTTGTTTGTTTGTTTGTTTGTTTTTGCAATCCTAGTAGAGAAACTCAGATACTATTAAAGTTCTTTTTGAAGAAAAGATGCTATCAGTATTCTGTTTAATGGTCCCAAAAATAATGGATTCCATTCTCTTGTCCTCTTCTCTTTAAATCCTTTCTTTTTATGTCTTTATTCAATAGCATGTCAAATAAAATACCATATAATTTTTAAGAAAAAAAGATAAAATACCATATAAGACTTAAGCTTAATTAGAATGTCATATATAAGATAAAATTAAACACACGTTATATAGTATTTTCTTTGGCACGGTGTAATATTATTGGTGGGGTACAAAAGAAAATAGACACTGGGGGAAAAAGAAGGTGGATAAAAAAAAATGTTCAATATTTGTGAGATGCTAAAGTTTGGAGTTTGACTCCAATAAAAATTTTACTTCTTTCCTTCTCACCATATAAGGGACAAAAGAGTAATGTTAGCAGGAAAAATAATATTAAAAAATATCTATTTTATTCAGAAACTAACTTATGGTGTAAAGGGATTAAAAACTTGATATGTATTTAAGGAATGATTTTTGAATCTCTTATATATCATTTTTAAGTGAGAAACACTTATTTTCCATTTTAATGTTGCAATCCTTTTTTTTTTAGTAATTATATTTGCACCCACTAAATTCATTAATACCACATCAACTTATAAATTATGTTCTTTACAACTTTACGTTACATTAAAACCCATTAACATATTCTCACCTTAACTATAAATAGAAATAACATTAAAAAAAAATAAAAAAAGCATAACCTATATTAACTATAATTGGAAAGTATTTTTTAAAGAAATAAAAAACATACCCCACATCTCTAGTTAAAACTAATTTCATCTTTATAAACTCTAAAATTTTTTCCATCAAATTCTTTGAAAAGTTCAATATAAGTTCTAAATGAAACAAAAACAACAGGAAGCATGTTAAATTCTTGAAGACTGATTTCTTCCCCTCAGTGCCTTTGTCAAATGCCTCATGTAAAATTATAGCAATTGCTTTTGTCAATAACAATCATTTTGTTCAAGTAATATTTCGTACTTCTACTACAACTTCAATCCCATGTATTGAGTTTCTTAGGTTTATGATAGAAATATATATAAATATATATTATATATATTAGTTATCATGTGCAGGTCTTTATGTTTCTTGCTTGTCTTTTACCGCCAATTGCCACAAATTGGATGGATTTTATTTTATTTTTTTAATCACATTTCGTTGCTTCTATGTTATGGAGGCTTTGCTTTGTTTTTTTGTTTTTTCTTTCCCTTAAGAAAGTCATAAAAAAAAGAAACGAAAATAGTAGAAAATATGTCAATATGAAAAGCTTAAGAAAGTATATATGCCAACTTTTAGTTATAGAAATTAATATGCCATAACTTGTCAAGTTATGGTTCATAACTAGATAAGTTATGGACAACTTGTCAAGTTATGGTTCATAGCCAGACAAATTATGGACAAAAATCGTGATTTATGGACAATAACTTGTCAAGTTATGGTTCATAACCAGACAAGTTATGGACGAAAACAGTAATTTGGCATATTTATTAACTTATGTAAACTATTAGCCTATTAATTTTAATTCATCTCAAGTCTTGACCTATTTCCCTCTTTCTCCCAAAAAGAAATTAGGTTGGGTGGCCTTTTTAAACCACCTCTTTTTATAAATGACCGAACTTTTTTTATTTTATAAAAATGACCGTTTTGCTTATATGAGTCAATTAATAATTAACCTATGGACTACAATCAATCAGTGATTGACCCATGGTCAATCATGATCGACTGATTCATTATTAATTTATCAATGTTTATCATTAATAAGTATGTAATTTGTTGATTAAAATTAATTAATTATTAATTAATTTTGGTTAATTATTAATTAATGTTGATTAATAATAAAAATAATAGAGTTAATCATGATTAACTGCTGAGTCAATCAATGATTGGCTACTAAGTTAATAAAAACGGCCTTGCAATTTTTCAAAATTTCGACTATTGATGAAAAATATCATTTAAAAGAGACCATTTGTGTTAAAATCCACAAAAGAAAAATAATAAGAGAAAGATGATTGATAAATAAAAGTAAAAAGGGACAAAAGTAATGAGAGGAATTGCAAATATTTTAAAAAAGGGTACAACATTAATAGTTAAAAAATTATATTTTCGATAAATCAAGATTAAAATTAGGTGGGGTATTAGAGTATTAAATTAGGTATTATGAATTTTATCTATAAAAGAATAGTTTTTTTTTCTATTTTTATTATAAAAATATTAATTATTGAGAGTATTTATAAATTTTATGGGTGCAAATATAACTACTCTTTTTTTTTTTTACATAAAATTTTACTGCTTCAATTTGTGTGTTTATGAAATGGACAAAGCAATGGGTCCATAAATGTTGGTGAAAGCATTTTCCTTGTATGTCGTTGTTATAAAATTCAACAGAAACGATAAATATTTGAAAATATGGAAGGATAGTTGCACAATGCACACATTATAAAATAATTGTAATATATTCGCCTAGAAAAAAAAAAGCATGAAACTTGGCGCTTTAAAGAAAACACTAAATTGCATTAGTTGGTTTGCAAAAAAAAAAAAAAAAAAAAAAAAAAAAAAGGTTAGATGCCTTTTTCTCCAATTTTTTGTGTAATTCTGTTGTGAAGAATGAAATTGGACCATGTTTCACAAATGGAAACAGTATTTGATGGACCTAATAAGAAGCGATATTCATACAGGAAATTCAAACTGAATCTAAGAGAGTTTTCTTTAAATGCTGTTACTATTAATTTTTATTTATTTTTTTATTTTTTTACATGTTCTTTAATTTCAAAGTAGAAAAAATAATATCACTGTTAATGTTGGAAGTTGGTTTTTCAATATAAGGATACTAGGATAGTCATAGGATAGTACTGTCATTTTTTGTTAATTTTTATTTTTTAACAAAAGGATATCTCCTTTGGTAGTTCAATCAAGAGTATTTAGCAATTACATTTTCTTTTCCTTGGTTGTCTATTAATTTTATGGAAGAAAGTGAAAAATAGGCTAAGACTTGAGATGAGATGAAATAAAATTAATAGGCTAATAGTTTACATAAGTTAATAAATAAGTTAAATTACTGTTTTCGTCCATAATTTGTTTGGTTATGAACCATAACTTGACAAGTTATTTCTGATTTTTATCCGTAACTTGTCTAGTTATGAACCATAACTTGATAAATTTATTTATAATTTATCTAATTATGAATCATAACTTGACCAGTTATGACCTATTAATTTTTATAATTAAAAGTTGGTCTATATACTTTCTTAAACTTTTTATATTGACTTATTTTTTACTATTTTCCCAATTTTATTTACAGATGTCAAACGAGTTAGGCCAGCTCGGCTTAGACAACCCTCCATTGTATTTGTCTGACTTAGTCCTTAACACGTGGTGGCTGCCACAATCAGATATTATATTTGGAACTCTAACCACATTTTTTTGACAAAATCTACCTTGTAGTTGTACCATGTCGTTTGACCCTTCGGTCATTGGCTTATGAGAATTGAAAAATACTAGTATCATTTTTCTTTTATTATTTTTATTATTTTTTGTATTTATTATTTTACACGTGTATTTTATTAACATAATATATTATTATTTAAATAAAAAATAAAATAATAGAATTTACGTATCAAATAATTACTACAGAATGATGACAGACATTTTTCTTAGTTTGTTAGTTTTCCATTTGATTTCTTTGATATAGTAAACAAACTACCTTCCATTAGGCTGCTCGGCTGATCCAGCGCCCATTGGACAGGTCTTAGTCAACCCCGACCCGAAACCTGCGTGATGATTCACCCTATAACAGGTTTCCATCACATATCAGGTTTCGAACTCCAATAAGGCAATCACCATAGATCCTCAACAAAGGTATCCAAATCAAGGAATTTCTTATTGATGTAAACATTCATATCCTTTACAGTTTACACACATATATGTGTACTTTTTTTTGTTGTTGCTAATCACACATATGTCTACTTGAAACTCTTAAACAATGCCCATGTCTTTCAAACAAAACTAAGGGACATAGAAAGTCGAGTTATTTACTCAAAAACAATGGTGGAAGAGGAAGCTTTCTATGACACTCACACTTTGTGCTTCTCTTGGGTAACAATTTGTAAAATTAAGGTACCAGTTCGTTATGAAGGCCTTCACTTAACATTCTTGGTGAACCAATTCAACAAGTCCTTGTGAGCCTCCTTTGCGCGCTTACGAGCCAGATCGTCTTGAACATCATACCTTAATGTAAAACCATGCTTGACTCCTTGATAAATCTTCACGAAGTGATCGATCTGTGCATAACGGAACGTCATTTAAGGTGAAAGCCGGAAAATGTTGACCATCGATGACAATCGCAAACTAATCTCAAAGACGGGAAGCACAAAAAGGCGTACTGATAACCAAGGGCGTCCACGATGGACACGAGTAGTTCGGTAAGGAAATGTAGAAAACATGTTGGATTTTGGTTTGATTCATACCTTGTTTGCACGTAAGACCTCCTCAAACTGATTCACAAGCTCCCGCGGATATTGCTTGTCAAGCTCAGCTCCAAATACGCCTAGTGGAACCTTGACCTCTGAAATACTCATATGTCAACATTAATAAAGTACTAGAATATATAGGTCGTGTTTGAAATTGATCACGTTTTTCAAAAAAAAAAAAAAAAAGAAGTTTTTAAAATGACGTTTGACGTAATAAAAATAAAAAACGAAAATGAAAATGATTTTTTGGTTTAGTATAAAATGAGACAGAAATGAAAAACGACTTTTAGTCGTTTTTCATTTTTTGTTTTCGTTTTCTCCTCTCTCGAGCAGAGAGAGAGAGAAAGAGAGACATTAATGAGTTTTTTTACACTGAAAATAATCTATTGATAAAACTGCCAAACGCATTTTTAAAAATAATTTCTGTTTGAGATTGAAAACGTTCTCATTTTTATTTTCATACAAAAAATAAATTATTTTGAAACGAGTTTCAAACGCACCTATAAAATTTAAAAGGAAAAAACTATGGTCTCAATGAAGAAAGTTGTACAACAGTTTAAATACTTGAGAGTTATACCTTTGATATCATCTAAAGTGACGAAGGAAGGATGTAAGATCGCGGTAGCCTGGACAAAGTTTTTGAGCTTTGCAAGTTCAATTGCAACCTTGGCTGATAACAGGATTTATCTAAGTCAGCTTAATCAGCTAACTCTTCTAAGGATTTTACAAATAAAGTCAGCTGATAATATTGCAATAAGATTCAACTAATATCTAGGACAATGATACAAAGAAGTGTTTGAATAATAAACTTACCACCCCAACAAAAGCCAGCAACACCTATTGCAGAAAACCCTTTACTTTTTAAGTCTTTGATTAGCGGTTTCGCTTCTTCAAATCCCTTTTCCTGTCAAAACATGTAAAAGGCTTGAGATCTGAGTTCTCAACACACAATGTGCAGTAGATATTTATCATGAGTCGGGCACATACAGATCCCTTATCCCCAAAACTAATTAGAACAACGATAGAATCTTAACTAACCGGTCGATGATCATTTAACCAAGCGTCTTTTGGCCTGCTAGTATTGTTGGGATCGTAAGGTTCTCCGTGGAAGAAGTCCGGAACAGCCACGAAGAATCCAGCAGCCGCAATCTTGTCAGCCAGCTTCCTTTACAACAGACAAGCAGCTGGAATTAGTTTTGAAGAGGGAATACAGCAATATAACATAGCATCTATGTTTCACACAATCTAATCCATCACGTTAAGCAAAACCCGGAAATGTTGCTGTAGAGAACAGATAAGGAACATCCATATACCTCAAGTTTGGAGCTTGATATCCTGCGATAATTGAAACACTCGAAAGTTAGGAGATGGTAATGGTGATGAAACAACAAATGTATAAACAGAGCAGGTCAAAGATCATATCCAAAATTACATGCTAATTATTGCATGTGAATTCTACAACTTGTTTCAAAGCTGTTCAAAAATCCAAAGTCTGAAAAATAAGAAGCTCAAAAAAGAATGCAAATTATCTAATACCTTAGAAAGATATATCAACAGCACCCATCAAGTGAATATGACAAAGTGTTAGAAAAGAACCCCCATTTTGTAGAACAGAACTAGGTGCACCCTTAGTACCATGGTACAATGAATGGTCAATCTCATTTTTGGTCTCGGAACTTACGTGAATCCTATTTTGTCTCTGACATTCAAAACGTCTTACAACTAGTCACCAATGCATAAAATTGTCCCATTAAGGCCCTTCCATCAAGAATTCATTTAAAATGTTGATGCAAAATGACATGTAAAGTCATGTAACATTTTAGTGTGGATATTCACATGACAATCCATATTATGAAATATCCACTTTTTAACGGATTCTGATATAAGAGCTATAATAGGACAATTTCATAATTGTGAAATGTTTCGAATGTCAGGGACCATAATGAAATTCACCAAGTTCGGGAATCAAAAAATGAGATAAACCCCTTACTGTAAACCATCAAGCTTTCCTCCTTCAAAGACCTCATTTTTCTCATAGAACATCAAACAATGACATGTATGTATATTTGAATAGGGAAAAGAAAACTAAAAACACCCATTAATAAAAAACAAACCTAAAATCTAAAACCCCACAAGAGAAAAAGAAGTTTTAGTGAACTTTAGAACCAAAAGAAAAGACATACCATAAACATCTGATACAAGAATAACCGCATGCTTGGAGATGGGAAAGCCAGTGACATAGGAGTCTAAACCACCAAGCTTCTCAACATGCCCTGCTCCGCTGCTTGCGTTTAAAGTCGGAGGGTTTGAGCCACAGTGAGGACCTAATGCGCTTTGCTCTTTTTTTTTTTGATCCATTGAAAAAACAAAGTTACACACACACACGATATGAAAATGAGATTTTGTGGTAAGATATGGAAAAATACCGATCAATATCTCAGTATCTATAGCATATAACAATTTAACCGTCACATCAATACAGTCTCTAACCGTCACATCAAATTAGAATCATATCAAAATTAAATGAGGTATAACAATTTAACAAGATCTAACCAAGATCAAAACGTCTACCAAAATCTCAGCTGAATTCATTTGCACAAGTGAAACATAATAATAATTCAATTGTACACAAAAAGATCATCAATATTTTCATATTGGGAATACAAAGAAGAAAGTCAAACTCCCATAGAGAAAACTTGGAGCAATGTAAAAAGTACCTGCAAAAGCGTGGAGAGCAAGAGAGATAAATAAGATAAAGGAAACGAATGTGATGGTCTTAGCAGTTGCCATGTTAAAGAAGAAATGACAGACTCTTTGGATATTGGGTTGCGTCTGGGGGTCTTATGTATGTACATACATACATATATATATATATATAGAGAGAGAGAGAGAGAGAGAGAGAGAGAATGAGATTGGTATTTTTGGAGTCCATTTTGTAGTTTTCGATTGCAACAGCTTTGACCGGTGGACAACCAATTGGGCTTGACATGATGGCCTTTTTAAGTGCCGGTGGAAACGCAATAGTCTTCGGGTTTTGTCCCGCCACGCAAGGATGAGAATTGTAACACTTTTTTTTTTTCCAAATTTTTTAGACTCTTACATTTTAGCACCTTGTATTTTCTATAATTACTACGAAGGTATTTTCTGTGCGTGTGTGTTTTTTCTTTTTAATAATTTTAAAATGACAGCTATATATTTTTTAAAAAATTTTCATTTTGGTATCATAAAGTCTATTTTTAGGACATAAAATCTTTTCTGTACATTTTTTTTATTTAAAAAAAAATACAATTCACGTCTAAAAACAGTTTCATGCAGGATATCAAAATGATGCTTTCTATAATATTATGGTAGCACTTTGATATTATGAAAAACATAAGGTATGTTTGTAATAATTTAAGAAACACATGGTATTAAAATGAATTTTTTCCTAAATTTTATCTTGTTCAATACTTATTTGATTAATGTTTAAATAAATGAAAATGGCATTATTTAATACAAGTTAGTAAGGTATATGGTTCAAATCATTCTTCCTAAATCAAAAAGAAAAATAAAAATAAAAGAAAAAAGCAACACTCGTAAGATTCTCAAGTAAACAAAATACACATATGGAGAAACTAAAGCTAAAATCTAAGAGACATTTTTCAAAGATCTTATTCTTGTTATTATTTTTTAATTATTTTTCTTTCTTTCTAAAGTGGAAAAAAATGGTTTATTGCTGTCATTTTAATGTTGCACTTTGATTTTTATATATAAGGATGCGTATAGTCTATTTCATTGAATATGAAAATGATTTTGGGCACCACAAAATCGCCAGAATATCTTTCGGTAGTCCAAGTAAGAGTATTAAACAATTATCATATTTAATTTTAATATAATAAGATTTTCACGAGGTCCACGTTCAATGTTATATCTTATATCTTGTATTATACATATATATTATATATAATATTAAAAAAAAAAAAAAAACGTTCAATGTTACAATTGGTCAAGCATGGTGGACTATTAACCGTCTCAAACTTGAATACATTTCCGATCAGTATTTTTTTTTTCTTTCTAAAAAGTATTTTGATGACATTGCTGCTTGTGCTAGCATAATAAAATAGAGATGTGAATTGGATCGGACCATCCAACAAACATGATGATAAGACATGAAAAATTTTGAATCTGGCACGACGCAGTATATTTATCTCTAACCGTTTTTTATTTTAATATCAAAATTATCAAGGAGTTGTTTAGAAGTTATACTCAAACTCAAATTATTATTTTTTACGGGGTTTTTTTTTTATCTCATAAAGAGTTCGAATTTTAAAATTTTCTTCCACAAAGGTACCTTCTAAACGGACACCAAGTCACCGATTTCCAAACAACTAAGAAATAGTTGAGAAATGAACAATCCGTAAGATGAAATTAACCGTAAGATGAAATTAAGTGCAATTTTTTAACCATCGGATTACATTAAATTATTGAATAAAGTACGATAATCTAGCAGGACTTGATACTCTTAACAGTTAAAACCTTGTCGCACCGGGAGAGGATTTTTTTCATACCCAACAAAATAATTTTCCAACTAGTATTTATGAGAAGCAACAGAAAATTTTTCATTAGAAACTACAACACATTCCATTCTTTTTGAGATGTTACAGATGTATATGCAGCCCAATTATGATTGAAAAAAAAAAAAAAAAAAAAGATCTAAACAGTTAAGGGAAAAGATGTCAGTTGCCCCCAAACACAAGTTGAAAAAATTTCAATGACAAAATCCTATAAGCTGGGCATACATCAAAAGAACTAGATGCCGCCAGCCAAGAGTTTACATACAAGTTATGTTTGTTTCGCGAGTTTTAACCACGGTTTAAATCTTTTTGTTACAGTGTTTTCTCCTTATAAAAATTTGAATTTTTGTTCAAACTTTCTGGTTTGAACCTACAAACTAAAAAACTCTATAAATTAATTATGGCATGGGTTATATTGTCAAACTTCCTCACTTGACATGTTTGTTAAACCAATAACATGTCCAAATGAGTCTCTTCTGCACTCCTGACAGCTGATATACCTCACTGTCCAATATCCACCCATGGAAAATCTTCACAAAGATATCAAACTGGACAATTGCCATTTGTAAGAATGAGACTTTTCAAAGCAAAGTAGTGGAAGTCACTTTCAAAGATCCCTCATAAATATTTCTATGGAAAAGCCATTTTATATTCTCTTTTCCCCATAGGAATATTTTCTCTATTTTGATAGCAACTTATCTTTGGTTCTATCAAGTTCCTAAGAGTTGACAATTCTTTTTTTTTTATTATTTATTATTTATTTTAAGTTCTTACCTAGATTTAGCTAATAAAATCTCTCCAAAATATTTTACTTGCTCCGGGGGTGAAGTGTCAATCTCACACACATCTCAGTATGGCAATGTGAATTTTACTTCTGAAAGAGTTTCAACATAGAATATAAAACAATTGCTGGTCGATCCTTTAATGACAAGTTTTCGGGAGAATCGGAAAACTAACAGATTTTTAGTAGGAATTTATTATTGATGTAGATTTTCAAGTCCTTCAAAAGAAACCAAGGTACATAGAAAGTCGAGTTCAATTGCTAATTATTCAAAACATGGGACAAAAGGAAGTAGTCCTAAGATAAATACTTGTGCTTCTCGTAGGTAGCACCAAAGTGAAAATTAAGGTACCAGTTGGTTCTGAATTGCCTTCACTTAACATGCTTGGTGAAAATTTCCAACAAGTCCTTGTGAGCCTCCTCTGCACGCTTATTAGCCGCTTCATCTTGAACATCATACCTGACGGTCCAACCATGTGCGACTCCAGGAAATATCTTCACAAAGGAATCAATCTGGACATAATGAAACATCATTAATTTGAAGTGAAAACCGAAAAGCGTTAACCATTGACGACAATCACAAACTGATCTCAAAGACGGGAAATGCAAAAAGCGTAGTAGGAACATGGGCAATTCGATAAGGAAGCAAAGGAAAATGCAGAAGACATGTTGGAAATTGGTGTGATGGAGAATGTTTGTACCTCGGCCTTTGCGCTTAAAACCTCCTCAAATTGTTTCACAAGCTCTGGAGGCGACACCTGATCAATCTCAGCTCCAAGTATGGCAATTGGAACCTTGACCTCTGAAAGCATTTAAAACCATTGACACCGTTAAGTTTATCTTAACATATTCATATGTTTACGTTAATAACATTTTGTTTGACATTGCAGTGGAGATGCTCTAAAATACTTAATAGCTGGAATCGAACCTTTGATATCATCTAGAGTGACGAAGGAAGGATGTAAGAGCACAGCAGCTTGAATAAAGTTGGTGAACTTTGCAACTTCAACTACAACCTTTGCTGAGAACAGGATTTATCTGAGTCAGCTTAGTCAACAAATTGCTATAGGTGTTTAATTAAGTCGCTGATTGAACTTGAACAATTTTCGACTCAACCAACAACAACCCTTCGAAAAGAAATTCCAGAGCAATGAAACAAAGAAGTGTTTGAATAATAAACTTACCGCCCCAACAAAAGCCAGCAGCACCTATCGCAGAAAATCCTTTGCTTTTTAAGTCTTCTATGACTGGTTTTGCTTCTTCAAATCCCTTATCCTGTCAAACCAAGTAAAAGGCTTCAAGCTACGAGATTTCAACATGAATATGTAATCAATAATAATTAGAAACTCAACCAAAAATACCAATAAAACAGATATAATGCTAGGCCGGCAACTTTTAGAAAACTTCATCATTTACATTTTCAGCAGCAAACTTCCAAAATGAACTCGGACTCGTCTTTAAAGAAAGCTGATTTATACCAAAGACGACTGAAAAACGAATTTTTGATTAAAATTAAGCAAAAACATAAAGTATCATATAAGAGATTCTCAACCAACCGTTCCGTGGTCTTGTAACCAAATTCCTAGCCCGCTAAAATCCTCAGACACATATGGATCGCCATGTAAGAAGTCGGGAACAGCCACAAAGAATCCAGCAGCTGCAAGCTTGTCGGCCAGCTTCCTTTACACCAGACAAGCAACTGCTATTAGTTTCCAAGAGAGAATACAGCAATATAACAATATATATATATATATATATATATATGTGGAAGAGTTATCAATGGTTACGTTTCAAGGAAGGCGCTAAATGCCTTAAGTATCAACTGGAATCACCCCTTCCTTGCATTATACCTTATTGAATTTGACATTCTAAATTGACAGAATTTATATTCCAAAAACTTATCCAGGCAGATTAAGGAAAACCAAGAAATGTTTCTGCAGAAAACAGGTATAGAAAATCCATATACCTCAAGTTTGGAGCTTCAAATCCTGCAATAATTTGAAACATTTAAAGTTTAGAAGATGGTAGTGGTGATAAAAGTAAACCAGAAAAAAGAAAATATCCACAATCGTTATTTTTCGCTTATTTCATATAAATTCCCGCACTTGTTTCAACGAAATTCCAAAAATCCCCAGTTGGGGAATAAGAAGCTCAAAAGGCAGGCAGAAATCTAACTCCTAAAGAAACGTTATCAATAGCACCCATCAAGTGAATATGACGAAGTCTTCAAATCATAAACAGAAAAAGAGCATTTTTTATTTATTTATTTTTATAGAACAGAACCAGCTAATCAAATTATCAAAGACCCAAATTTTTTTTTCTCCGAAAAAAATAAAACAAGAACACGCATGTATATTTCGAGAGGGGAAAACTAAAAGGACCTATTAATCTTCACAACCCAAAATCAAAAACCAGCAAGAGAAAAAAAGAAATTTTACTGAAATCCAGGTAAAAAACAAGTACCATAAATATCAGATATAAGAAGAACCGCAAGCTTGGAATTTGGAGAGCCAGTGACATAGGAGTCTAAACCACCAAGCTTCTCAACATGCCCTGCTCCACTGCTTGGGTTTAGAGTTGGAGGATTTGAGCAACACTGACAACCTGACATTCTTCTTCACTCACACACACACTCTCTCTCTCTAGAAAAAAGCAAAGTCACAAACTCACAAAGTGATTATCTGGGCACTTGAGAAGATGTGATTTGAATCATCATTTCTGATTTATTATAATATTTTTTTTTATAAAAAATACACATAAATTAAAAATAATTTTATACTATAATTTTAAATTCATGAATCAAAATCCACTTAAAAGATTTAATTTGTGTGCTTATGAATTGGAGAAAGCGATAGATCCACAAATGTCTCAAAGTAAAACAAAACAAAAAAAAAAAGGGAAAAAAAGATTAAAAAAAAAATGGCGGATTTCTGGAGAAAATAATAAATATTGTGGGCTTGGCGATTTTCAAGTTTTTCTTAATGGTAGTTGACCGTTAGTTTTCTCCACATTTTTTAGTATTTTGCACATTTGCACCCTGAATTTATAAGGGTACGGTAATTTACCCTCTAACTTTCTATTTTTGACAATTGATCCCTCAAATTTGTAAAAAAATTGCAATGTATCCTATTTTATCATGTTTGCTCTGATTTTTTTATTTAAGAGACTGAGAGTCGGAGAATTAATAAATTTGTGTTACGATTTGAAATAGAATATTAAAATATTCCGTCGAATGTGCTCTTTTTTCATCAAAATGGGACACAATGCAATTGTTTTACAAGTTGGACCGAGGGTAAATTGCCAAAATCAGAAGTTTAATGGGCAAGTTTCCAAACTATTATAAGTTCAGAGTGAAAATATGCAAATAACTCCTTTTCTAGTGTTACTTTAAATTTTGTGGTGAAGAATGGACCACGTTACACCAATAGTGGAAATATCGTATGTGGAACCTAATAAGAAAGCAATATGAAATGTCGAGAAATTCTGACTAAATCTAAGAGAAATTTTTCTGAAGAAACTAGTCTATTCTTGTTATTTTAATGTTGTGCGTGGAGTTTTCAAAGGATATCTCTTGAATTTAGTAATTCAATTTAAGATTATTAAGCAATTACTGTCTAGTATTTATTAAAAGCTACAGAACTGTTTTCAAAGGGAAGATACTAAACGGTCGAGTAAAAAAGATGGCAATTTCACCCAAAACAAAACCTGAAAAAATTTAAAATTACTTGAATAGTATCTTTTCTTTTCTTTTTTTAATTATAAAATGGCTGGTTTGAATAATAGAAAATTTTTCTCAAGATGTTGCTACTCTTTTTAGTTTCTTCTTCCTTTTATAAGTGGCAAAAAAAAAAAAAAAAACTAGTGTATTTCTGTTATTTTAATGTTGTACGTTGCGTTTTCAATATCTCTTGAATTTCGTAATTCGATTTAAGAGTATTAAGCAATTACTGTCTTTAATTTTATCAACTTGAGGCAAGGCTTTTAATCTACATCCGTTCCCAAACTTAAAAAAGACATTTATTAGTTAATTATAATTAATGTTATAATTGGCCAAGTTTGTTGGTGGGTATGTATACTCAATTGTGCCCTTCCAGCATATAAAAATAATATAGAAAAAAAAGAAAAACAAACTCAGTTGTGGCCTGAAAAGAATCTAAAATTGGTCAATTGCCTCAAATTCAAGATATAATTTCCTGTTCAGTTTTATTTTATTTTTTAAAGAGACATTTCCTATTCAGTTGTTTTCGTTTTGTACTAGACTGAATTGGCGATTACATTGCTGCTTGTCATTCAAAACTCTTTAAAGAAGAATAATTGTCAAGACTAGTATGAAAAGCTACAGAAATGCTTTACATATCATTTCAGTAAAACTTATTCTGGTATGGCCATTATTGTGACAATTTTACACGATATAGAAAATGGATCAGTGGTGTCCTCAAATCCCCGACTCGGTAGCCACTTGAAAATCTATTGAGACCACGGGGGTGCGGAATTTCACTTGACATATTTCTTAAACCAATTTAACATGTCCAAATGAGCTTCTTCGGCATTCTTGACAGCTGATTGCTCTTCATCATTGTACCTCACAGTCCAACCATGACCCACCCCGGGGAATATCTTCACAAAGCTATCAAACTGGACAAATGCATTTGGTAAGGATGAGTCTAATTTTCAATTCAGAGGCAAAGAGAGTCACTTTCAAAGATCACTCATGAATTTTGTGGAAGGAGAATCTATGGAAAAGTCACTTTCTAATCTCCTTTCCCCATTGGAATAGGCCGACTCTTTTGATCAAAACTTATCTTGTTCCATCAAGTTCCCAAGAGTTGATTATCTTCTTTTTTTTTTTTTTTTTTTGTTGTTGTTCCTTACCTCGGATTTAGCTGACAAAATCTCTCCAAAATGTTTCAATTCCTCTGCTGGTGCAAGATGGTCAAACTCAGCTCCCAGTATAGCGATGTGAACTTTTACTTCTGAAAGACCACTCAATGTTAGCACCAAAATTTTTAGCATGATGATGGAACATGGAAAAAAAAAAAAAACCAAAAACACTTACTATTAATTTCTTCATATGTTAGCCTTCCAGGATGCAGCACAACCGCAGCTTGAATGTCGGTAGAACTCGCTAATTTAACCGCGACCCACCCTGAACCAATCCGAGAGAGAGAGAGAATTTTATTGGTCACTCCTACTCTAAGTAATTCTCTATGAAAGAGTTCTTGAGATATAAATGTGGAAGCAGAATTTGTCTACCTCCCCAGCAAAATCCTGCAGCTCCTATGGCAGAAACGCCCTTACTCTTTAAAGCAGCAACCACTTGTTTCGCATCTTCATACCCTTTATCCTACAAGTCAAGAACCTACTAAATTGAGCTTAAACCAGTCCAAAAACAAAAGGGCTTCATTCAAATATAAATTGATTCATGCCTCGTTCATTTCACCGATTTGAGTTTTCAATTTCAGTTTTGCTACAGTTAAAAGCTCTCAGAAACAATCATATCTAACTTTTTTGTTACAGTTAAAGGTTCTCACATAAAATCACATCTTAACTCGAATTAGCGAATTAAATGAGGCCTCAATTTTTATGTTCTCGTTAGATCCCAAAGAAGGAAATGTTTCTTTTTGTATGTAAATGGTCTGTTCTTGTGAATTGAAAACTAGCAGAAATAGTTTCCAAACCTAATCATTCTCTCTTGGTTCTTTGATAGTCATTTACAGGTGCTTAATTCCAAAAGAGATTTTATCTGCATCGTTTAAAGAAAAGTAACAAACCTGGAAAGGAAAGTAAAACTAACCGCGTTATGAGCTTTCAACCACAAATCGCGATCAAATTGAGGGTTGCTAGGATCAGCAGGGTCACCATACAAAAAATCAGGAGCCACCACCAAAAATTGACCAGCTTCCGCAACTTTATCCGCGAGTTTCCTTTACATAAGTTAAATGAAAATTTTCATTATGGTTGCGTTTTGTATGAGGGTTTTAAAACCAGAACCATGATTCTAATTTAAACATTTGTTTGTTTATAAAAAGTAAAAAAAAATGTTCTTAAAAATCAATATTTGATGGTTCTAGTTTAAAATTTGAATCCTGATGTGATGTTTTAAACCAAAATCACTTTTAAAAATAAAATCACCTCCTCCTTGATTTTAGATGGTTCAAACCTCTAGTACTGATTCTGGTTCTAGAACTATAGTTTTGACCCTAAGTTCAAATTATAAATCATAGTTCTAATTCTAAAACTAAAACTACTATGATTTAAATTCTCATACCAAACACAATCTACGTGTGACTACATTTGGATTGTGTTAGAGATGTTTTATTTCAGTATTCAGGAGAAAATCCTACATTAATTTAGAAGCGGGCTAATTAAGCACTAAATTAGCAGTTTCACATCCGGTAGTCCACAGATATATTATAGTTTTATGAACCTTCTGTTCTCTCTAATATAGCCTTAATTCTTTTTCTCCAATTACAGAGTAAATTGAAGTTTCATCTAACAAAAGAAAAAGAACAAAGCCAGGCATTTTCGAGTCTAACGCCCAATTTTGGGTATTCTAGAGTGAATCATGTTCAAAAACACTTTCTCAAGAAAAGTTAAAAAAACAAACAACAACACCAACAAACTTTAATTCCAACTCAAAAAAAGTTAAAAAGACGAAAAAAATACCTAAATTTTGGAGCTTCATATCCTGCATTTCATATCAAACAAAAAGGGTTTCAGTGTTACTTGTGGACATTTAAAAATAGAAAATAAATAAACTAGTCTGACAGACTTTCTCCAAATTTGAGTTTTCTTGTTGCAAAACATACCCCAAATAAAATAAAATAAAATAAACCCACTAAATATATAAAGACAAAAACGGGAAGTTTTACCAAAAGCATCGGAGGCAAGAAGGATTGCCCTGTTGGAATCATGGGGCCCAGTGATGTATGTTTTGAGGCCACCAAGATGTTGGACAGATCCCAATCCAGATGTTGAGGAGCTGAAGTTTGGTGGATTCTCAAAGCACTGAGAACTTGACATGATAATCTCCAAAGATTGTGGAACTGGAATCAATCTAGTACTATACTAGATTACTTGGTTCAGAGATTGAAGTACAATAATTTGTCATACAGATATGGATGGCATCGAAAGAGTTAAAAGGAGGTTTTTATCGTCGTGGAGAACAAAAACTTGCGTCACTCCTTACGTCACAGGCGTTGGAGCCTCGTACAGCTTGCTCTGGCCGGTAAAATAAAAAATAAAAAATAAAAAAAACAAATTCCATGTCCGTCTGACTCTGAAGTCTGACCAATGTGATATCATGTTGTCCAAACGAGGATTTCTCTGCATCAGACATAAAGTGTGGGTCCCATCTAATGGGATGGGTTGTGGGACTCACACTCCTCAATAATTTTGTGTTTATTTTATTAATTTAAATTTAAATTTTAAATTTTATTATAATAAATTTTTTAAAAAAATAATCACATTTAATTTTTTAATTATAATAAAATTTTTTTATATAAAATCATATCTCAATTTAAATTAAAAATTTAAATTAATAAACTAAACGTGTCTTATATCAATTCGTTTTTCTTTCATAAATTATAATAAACTGCTTAGAAAAAGTTATTATTATTTTTATATTATTTTGTATTATGCATACATCGAGTGTTTACGCTCGTTAAATAAAGCCTGATCATACTTTCGGTGCCTATTAAGCTAATTAGCAATGATAGTTGAGTTGTGATAGAGCATTAGATATATTTTAAGTATTTGTGTTTGTGACGCTTGTCACTTTAAAGATTGAGATTTATGGTGGTTTGTTTCATATATTCAAACTTAAATTATTAATTCTGTTATAGTATTTTTTTTTAAAAAAATTTAAATTTTAAACATTAAAATAAAAAATTAAGATTTAAATATATCTTTTAAATGAACCCTTAGAGTTCGAATAGTCACTTTTAAGTTAAAAAGAATAAAGAATAAATTTTAATATACATGTGACTATACTCATTTGAATATGTATATGTATGTATAATTTGGGTAAATTTTTTGTGTAGCACTAATTGAAAAAAAATTACATTTGATGTATAACATTAATGTTTTTTTTTTTTTTTGGAAGCGGATGTGACCTAAAAGAAGGTATAAATTATGGTAATTATTGAAAATACATTGAAGTCCAATAGGCAAAATGACTCGTCTGAAACTGAAAAATAAACATAAACTTTGGTAATCTCATAAAGCACCGGTAATGCCTACAAAAGTCAAAATTACAAAGCCCTCACATTTAACCCAAAAAAAAAAAAGAAAAACTCTAAGCTTCAAGCAAGTGGTTGATCTTGAGGAATGGACCACATTAGTCCAATGGTAATATCATTTGTGGAACCTGATAAGAAAACAATATTCACTTGGAGAAAGCAATATCCAATAAAAATTTGGCAAAAGATGTTACTAGTCTTATTAGTTTTTTTTTTTCCTTCTTTCTTTTTAAAGTGGAAAAAATGAGAATTTATCGTGAATAACAGATTTTTAAAACTAAATTAAGTAAATAGCATATTTTAAAACTATTTAAAATAAATAATAATTTATTGTATAAACGATTCATTTATGCCTAGTAAAAAATAACTTACGTGGTAAAAAATCTTAAAAAATCTTTATTTACGTGAAAAAAGATCTTTTTACCAATCTTAAAAAGAAAACTTACGTGAAATTTTTTTATCAGTCATAAACTGCTATTTACTTCTATTATTTTCAAAGTTTACTATTTACTTAATTTAGTTTCATAAATCTGCTATGTACTACGTCGTTGTCCTGAAAAAGAAAATACTAGTGTATTACTATTATTTTAATGTCGTATGTTGAGTTTTCAATGTAAGGATATATCTTTAATATGGCATTTCAATTGAACAGTTTTTAAGAAATTGCTGTTTTTAATTTAATCAACTTTTTTTTTTGTAAAATTCAAAATTTTCAACTTTAGGCAAAGCTTTTTTTTTTTTTTCCCCCTACATCAATTTTCAACTTAAAAAGACATTTGAAAAGGATACCACATCGATCCACAGCCTCAAGTTCAAGATATTTCCTACAACCCTCTCTTTTTCTTTTTTTTTTTCTTTTCAAGTGTAGTCACAATTATTATTAATACTTTTAGGATAAACTGGTGAGTATAGTCACATATAAAAAACTAAGGTACATAGAAAGTCACTTTCAAAGATCAATGGAAAAGTGAATTTTGTGGAAGGAGAATCAATGAAAAAGTCATTTTGTATTATCTTTTCTCTATAGGCATACTTTGACTATTTTGATAGAAACTTGTCTTTGGTTCTATCAAGTTCCTAACAGTTGATGATGATTCTTTCTCTTTTTTTTTTTTTTCACTACAACATTCGAGTCCTTTAGCGATGAACCTTGTCGTGCTAAACGTTATTTCCACGACGACTAGTCGTCACAAAAGATACAAGTCGTTTCATATTTATGTGTAATATTTAGGGACGAAATCAAAGAAACTTTAGAGACGACATGTCGTCACAAAAAGGTAAGTCATAACAGTCAACCTTTTAGCGGCGACATGTCATCACTATAAATTATTGGCGCCAATTGAAAAAAATGTGTGAAAAAAGTGCGCCGGTTGGCTTACTTTTAGCGATGACAATATCCGTCGCTAAAAGTGGTGAAACTTTCACAAGTTTTTGGTCAACGTTTTAGTGATGATATTTTCAACACTAAAGGTGGTCAAAAAATATTTTGGTGGACAGACACAATTTCCTGAAAATTTTGGCGGAGAAACGAAATTTTTTTTACCTTTGTCGTCGTTAAAAGTTTGCTCAGACACATCAGAAATTTTAATGACGTGGCACTTATTCCACGACGAAATTTTTTTGTGAATTTGTAGAAATTGGTAATTTGTTGTAATTTGTAATTTGACGAAATTTTAATTTTTTTTAATTTTTTGTTGTAATTTGTAGAAATTAGTAATGTTGTTGTTGTTTTTGTGAATGTTGTTATTGTTGTTGTTGGTGGTGTTATTTTGGTTCGATTAGATAAAAAAGTAATTTTAATTGTAGATGAAAATTGTTAATTGTGATGTTGTTTATGTGAATTTCTTGATGTTAAATTTAAATTGTTAATGGTTGTTGATTAGGTTATGGTTTTAGGTGATTTTAGTTTCCTTTTTTATGTTAGAAATGAAATTGATGGTGAATTTGATTTAAGGTTATGTTAGTAATGAAATTGATTTTGAGATTGATGTTAGGTTACGTGATTTTGGTATTTTCTTTTTGTTAGTAAGGAAAATATTTCTAAATAATATAAAGCATTGATATTTACATTAAAGTGGAATAAAAATATAAAATTATAACAAAATAATTAAAGAAATTAGAACAAATTAGTTAGTAAAGACTTGTTATTTACATTAAAATGAAAAAACTATAACAAAATAAAAAGTAAAGAATTTATATTTACATTAAAGAGGACGAAAAATAAAATATTAAAAAAATAGAAATGCTATTTACATTAAAATTGAATAAGAAATAATAAATTAGAAGAAACAATTGATGTAATTATTGAATAAGAATAAAATAATTGATATTAAAAATATTAAGAAATAAATTTAAAAAGAAAGTAAAGAATTGATATTTACATTGAAAATGAGTTAAAAATAAAATGTGAAATAATAAATAAAAATAATCTAATAACAAATAAAAGAATAAATTTAATAACACAAATTGTAACTTTAATTTACTAACTTTAATTTCTTACGTGATTGTTCTGTGGTTTTGTTCAAGTGCAAGTTGTTTGACACGCGACTCAAGAGAAGACGGATAAAAGAACACAAAATAAAATTAGCATTTATGTCAATGCTTCGTGGTACGAAAATGACCCTTTCATTCTGGCAACTCAGGCACAACAAGTGTTCTATTTTGACGACTCATTCAACAGTGAGAGTTGAAAAGTTGTTGAACACTTTGGTTATCGACATATTTGGGATATTCCGGATGAAGAAGTGAATGATGCTGCAGTAATGCAAGAGAACAACTCAGCTAATTTTAAGTTGAATGTTGAGATTCATGAGTTTATTAGACTGACCTTTAATCAACCAAGCGTCAGCGGCGCTGAAGTTGTCCATGATGTTAAAGCTCTACTAGTTGACAAGTCAACTGAAGAATTGGAATTCATTCATGACGATGAAATCATTGACGATACACTAGAAGATTATGAAGAACAAGCTGTCTTGGATGAAGAAGAAGATTAGGATGACACCGAACTAACCAATGCTAGCATTGACATTATTAGTGATGATGAATAAACCTATTGTACAAAGCTTATCTTTGCATATTTTTCCATATTGTTCAACCAGCGTTTATTTTTATTTATGTATGATTTTTTTGTAATTCCTAATGTTTTAGGACTTAGACATGGATTCTGAACCTGTAGCTACCTTTGCTGGCTCGGCGGGAGGATCAAAGCCACCACATGATTGAGCTCTGAGACTTCCCTCCCACTGTGAGTCAGGCATAAATAACAACTCTATCATTATCATATTAGAGGACGTTTAATTGATGGATTCAGAATCATGATTCAGAATCATTCTCGATTTACGTGTATTTTTTGTGAGAAAAAATACTGTAGCGAGTCACGAATCATGATTCGAACCATGACACGAATTCTTAAACCAAACGCTTCGTAAGTGAATTGAATTTTTTGTCATTTACTAATGTTTGTCTTCTTGTTGAAAATAGCAGCTCCCCCTGCTTGGCGCCGTAGAGGACAAGGTAAATGGGAGAAAACTCGTGGGATTGATATTCAAAATGTGGTCAGCAAAGAGGGGAAGCTTACCGTCCAATTTGATAAAGACGGTAAGATGTGGAAGGCCTTAGGCGGTAATGGCATGATCTTTGAGACAGCCATTGGAATCGACGTGAGGGATGTCCTGCCACCGTACCTACACACCTGGGCATCCGGTGGTAAGCGGACCATGGAGAAAATTGGTAACAAATTAAAGTCATGGTTCAACATTCCCTTGGATCCAGAGCACACAACGGTCACTGAGCGGGAGGCAAAAAAAATGCTTCCGAGATTAGAAAACAGATTTGTATGACCATTTCAAAAAGGTTGGAGGTAAGGAGAACATTCAGCTCGCCAAACGCTAGCGTCCCGCAATGGTCAGCATTGATCAAGCATGGCAAAGGTGTTGCGACCGATTCGTTTCAGAAGCCTTTTTGGTATTTCTCTGTCATTTACTTTTTTCTTTCTACCTTACTTTATATTTAACATGATTGATAAATTTAAAATTGTTAACTTATTATGTTTGTATCTTTTTATGTTAAAGAGAAAGTTGGAAACAAACTCGAAGAACAGATAAACAAATAAAAGCAAAGGGATCCACTTATCAAGGATCCGCATCATTCACCTAGCACTGCATTAAGTACATAAGTTTGAAACATAAAGTTTTTTTTTCATTTAATTACATATTCACAATTCATTTTTTAAAATTTTTAAATTAATCTGTGTCACAGGGGAGAGATCGGGTAGAAAAATTTCGGCAAACGCACTACCGTGAGGGGCACGGATGGGCCAGCGATGAGGCTGAGGCCGAATTTGTAAGTTAAAGAATCATGTCTCATGTCTTTATATAATTTTTTTCTACAACACTTTATTGACACATATTATGTTTTTTTAACGATGTCTAGCATGAGATGGAGCGTCGCTACCATCTGGCCACGCAGGAGGGTAAGGATATGGATGAGGGTTCATCATCCGCAATATTAACTCGGGAGAAGATAGTGGCAGATGTCCTCGGAGAGCGACGAGGATATAGGAAGGGAATTGACCCGATGCTATCTCGAAGGAACATAATTCAAATCCCTCAGCAGCCGCAGGCTAATTATGAGGAGCTCGGTGATTGGTTTCAGCAGATCTACAACAAACTCAACCAAGCAAACATCAATATCCCTCACCCGCCAAGCGCGTTCTGACCACCACCCCCACCGCTGGCCGACAATGAGGATGACGACGACGCCGTCACCACAGATTTAGGGACCCATTAGACAGCTTTGTTCTTGTTGTTAGAGACCACTTATTTTATTTTATTATATTACATATAATATTTTTCTTCATGTTCAGTATGTTAGTTGAACTTGTAATACTCTTACTTTTGACTTATGTTTAGTATTCGCTTTTTATTAATTTTTATCGTATTTGATTATTTGTTAATTTAATTTATTATATTATATTTTATTATTACAAAACAATTTTTATTAATCATTTCAGATCAGATTTAATTATTAAAATTAACAAATAAACAACAATTTTTAAAAAAATATAATTATTTAAAATATAATTTCTAAACTTTTAACGACAACATGAGTCGTCACTAAAAGTAAAATTTTTTCAAAAAAAATTGAAAAATTAACAATTTATAGTGACGGCAATTTTAAAATAGTCGTCGTTATAAGGATACATTCAGTGGCGACAATATTAAATATTATCGTCGCTACATATTATAAACGATTATCCTGACGAATTTCTAACAACTTTTCAACAACTATGGTACATTTTTACAGCGACTACTTTTTCACGCTGAATGAGCCGTTTTAACGACGACAATATTGTTGTCGCTAAAAGTCGCTTTAGCGATGTGTTGGTAGCGATGCCTATGTGGCGATGAAATGTCGTCGCTAAAAAATTTGTAGCGACGAGATTGCCTCTTTTATGTCATCGCTGAAAACTAATTTTCCTGTAGTGTTTTTTCCTTTTGTTCCTTACCTTGATTTAGCTAATAAGATCTCTCCAACATATTTTGCTTGCTCTGGGGGTGCAGGCGAAGCTTTCTCAATCTCATACCTCAATGTGGCATGTTAACTTTTTCTTCTGAAAGAGTTCAATATAGAAAATAAAACTATTGGGAGAATTTACAAACTAACATAACCTAATGAGGAGTTTATTATTGATAATGCTGTCCAGATCCTTCACCATACACACATATACAAACCTGAAACTCTTAAACATTAAACAATACCCAAGTCCTTCAAACAAAACTAAGGTACATAGAAAGTCTGGCTATTTATTCGAAACATGGGTGCCAAAGGAAGTAGTCCATTAGATCCATACCTGCGCTTCTCATAGGTAACAATATCCAGTTCGTTATGAAGGCCTTCACTTAACATGCTTGGTAAAAAATTCCAACAAGTCATTGTGAGACTCCTCTGCGGTCTTACGAGCTGCTTCATCAGACGGCCTGATGGTCCAACCATGCTCGACTCCCGGATATATCTTCACAAAGGAATCAATCTGTACATAACGAAGCATCATTGATTTGAAGTGAAAACCGAAAAGCATTAGCAATCGATGAGAACCACAAACAAATCTCAATCAGAGCCAAAAAAAAAAAAAAAAAAGGCACACTGGGGAGAATTGGCGTCTGTGATGAACATGAACAGTTCGGTAAAGACGCAGAGGAAAATGTGGAGAACATGTTGGAAACTAGGGTGATGAAAGATGTTCACACCTCAGGCTTTGCACTTAAGATCTTCTCAAATTGTTTCACGAGCTCTGGTGGAGATGCCTGGTCAAACTCAGCTCCAAGTATGGCAATTGAAACCTTAACCTCTGAAAGCATTTGAAACCATTGACACCGGAAAGTTCTCTAACTTAACATGCCCATATGTCGACGTTAATAACATACTTGAGAATATATGAATCTTGAAGTAAACAACTACAGTTTTAGTGAAAAAATTTGTAGAATGATATCTTCAAGTTGTTTCAAACACAATACGTGCCACCTACAGTGCGTTTTCACCAAGTATATGTCTAGGATCATCTCCAATGCAAATGCCAGTGGCAATTATAAATTTGGCACAAAAAAAAGAGTGAAAATGGCATATTCGATATCTTGTTCTATTTTGTACTCTAATGCATAATGATGTTTTACTGCTATATCTAATTTTTGTCAAAAATTTTTAAGCTCGAAACCTATAAAAGTAAACTTTTATGTAAACAATTTGAAAATGATGATATCATAATTAATGAAAAGATCAGCAAATCAACCAATATCAACCAAAAGTCAAAATTTAGTATATTCAGTACTTGTGGTGCCATGTATAGCATCTGCCACATTTTGCATTAGAGTGTGACTTTCCTACTCAAATGCTAAATTTGGCATTGACACTGCATTGAGATGTCTACACTCTAAAATACTCAAAAGTGGGAAGCATACCTTTTATATCATCTAGAGTGACTAAGGACGGATGTAAAAGCGCTCCAGCCTGGATGAAGTTGTTGAACTTTGCAAGTTCGGTTACAACCTTGGCTGAGAACAGGATTTATCTGAGTCAGCTTAATCAACAAATTGCTATATGTTTAATGAAGTCGTTGATTGAACTAGCAATTTTCAACTCAGCCAACAAGCATACAAAAGAAATTCCAGAACAATGAGACAAAGAAGCGTGTGAATACTAAACTTACCACCCCAACAAAGGCCAGCAGCACCTATTGCAGAAAATCCTTGGCTTTTTAAGTCTTCTATGACTGGTTTTGCTTCTTCAAATGCATTATCCTATCAAACCAAGTAAAAGGCTACTATGAGATTCGACATGAATATGTAATCAATAATAATTAGAAACTCAAGCAAAAAAAACCAATAAAACAGATATAATATTAGGCCGGCCACTTTTAGAAAACTTCTAATGAATTACAAATTTAGCAGTAAACTGCAAAAATGATCATTCAGACTCATCTTTAAAGAGAGCTGATTTATGTGAAAAATTTTCATAAAAGACAAATGAAAAACTAATATGTGGTGAAATTCAGCAACAACTTCAAGTATCACTTTAGAGATTATTGCCCCACAAAGCTCATTCACTTAAAACAGTTGAAGAATCTCAACCAACCGTTCCATGGTCATTTAACCAAATTCCTATCCTGCTAAAATCTTCAGAGTCATAGGGATCGCCATGTACAAAGTCGGGAACAGCCACAAAGAATCCAGCGGCCGCAATCTTGTCGGCCAGCTTCCTTTACGCCAGATAAGTAGCTGCCATTAGTTTCCAAGAGAGAATACAGCAATATAGAAATAATGATCATAATAATCATAATAATAAAGATGTTATGTTTCAAGGCCCATCTGAATTCCTATGTGTTAACTAGAATCATCCCTTAAATTGGCAAAGAATTTATATTCCGAAACTTTAATCCGGCAGATTAAGCAAAACCCAGAAATGTAGCAGCAGAAACCAGGTATAGAAAATCTGTACTACCTAAAGTTTGGAGCTTCATATCCTGCAACAATTGCATCAGTTAAAAGTTAGAAGATGGTAGTGCTGATCAAAGTAAAACAGATAAATTAATCCACACTCGTTATTTTCGCTTATTTCATATAAATTCCACTACTTGTTTCAAAGCAATTCCAAAAATCACAAGTTGGGAATAAGGTGCTCAAAAAGAAGGCAAAAATCTAACTCCCCAAGAAACGTTATCAATTGCACCCATCAAGTGAATATGACAAAGTCTTCAAATCATAAAGCAGAAAAAGAGGATTTTTTTTATTTTTTTATTTTTAGAGAATTTCTTTGATAGGACCCGTTCTTTTAACTATGTTGTTTTAACTATTGATTATGTTTTCAATAGATTTAACATAATCAATAGATTTGTGATTGTAGTACTTCTGTGTGGCCTGTATAGACACTCACAACAGTTAAAAATGTAGAATTTTTAACATTTAAAAATTTAGTTAAAAATTCTAAATTTTTAACTGGAACTACCGGTGGTTAAAAAGAACAAGTCTTACAGAGATGCTCCCTTATTTTCATAGAACAAAACTCGCTAATCAAATTATCAAAGACCTAATTTTTTTCTAAGAGAAAAATAAAACAAGAACATGCACGTAAATTTCTAGAGGGGAAAACTAAAAGGACCCATCAACCTTCACAGCCTAAAATTTAAACCCCACAAGAGAAAATAAAGTTTTACTGAAAAAAAAACAAAGTACCATAAATATCTGATATAAGAAGAACCGCAAGCTTGGAATTTGGAGAGCCAGTGACATAGGAGTCTAAACCACCAAGCTTCTCAACATGGCCTTCTCCACTACTTGGGTTTAGTGTTGGAGGGTTTGAGCAACACTGAGGACCTGACATTCTTCTTCACTCTTTTTTTTTATTATTTTTTTATTTTGCAGAACACAACAAAAGTTACAAACTCACTTTTGGGTCCGTTTATTTCGCTGATTCAAGTTTAGAATTCGAGTTTTGTTACAGTAAAAAACTCTCAGAAACAATCACATTTAACTTTTTTATTACAATAAAAAATTCTCACATAAAATCATATCTCAACTCAAATTACAAATTCAAATCAGCAAAATAAACGTACTAAGTGTCTATCTGGGTACTTGAGAAGATTTATTTATAGATTGCAAATTGGACAAAGGAATACATCCACATTACTTTCAAAGGAAAACAAAAAATAAAGTAAAAAAATACTTGTCGGCTTTCTACGGAAGATAATAAATAATGTTAGGGGGCCGGGGCTGGCGAGTTTCAAGTTTTTCTTAATGGTAGTTGACCGTCAGTTTCCTCCGCTGTTTTTTTTTTTTGGCACATTTCCCTGAACTTGTAGGGGTTTGGTAATTTATTTCTGAACCTCTAAGGGTTCGTTTGGTTAGAGAATTTAAACTATGTGATTTAAATTATTTTTGATTTATGTGTATATTTTATGAGAAAAAATACTACAGCGAATCATGAATTATGATTCGAATCAGGGGACGAATCCATCTACCAAACGCCCCCTAATTTTCATAATTTGCCCTTTTAATTTATAAAATAGGTGTAATGTGTCACATTTTATTAATTTTTTTCTTTTTTTTTTTAGATTTAAGGGGTTGAGAGTTTAAGAATGAGAGATTTGTGTTATAACTTGAATTGGGGTGTTAAAATTTTTTGTCGAACGTGTTTTTTTATCACTAATTTAACACAATCATCATTAAAATGAGACACATTATAATTGTTTTATAAGTTGGAGAATATATTTCGAAATTTAAAAGTCCAAGAAATAAGTTGCCGAACCACTATTAGTTTGCGAGGCAAATATGCAAATAACCTAGCTTGTTTTTTTTATAGTTAGACGAAATTTTTTGGTGAAGATGAACCACGCTACTCCAATGGAAATATCATTAGAGAAACTGATGCAGGATAACAAGTTAGACTAGATTAGAAATCTTTATTAGGTTACGATTTAATAATATTATTTTCAGTTTTATCTTTCTTATTTTAGTCGGCATAGTTTTAGAGTTTGAATTCAGCAAGGACTTTTTGTTGCATTCTATACAAACATCAGCACATACGTTGGAAGTTTTTTCTGTTCATATATTCTCAGTTCTTCTAAGAGTATAAATTTTTTATTAACTTGAGGCAAGGCATTAGTTTTATTAACTTGAGGCAAGGCTTTTAATCTACATCTAATTCAACCTTTAAAAGACATTTATCATTTAATCGCAATCAATGTTATAATAGGCCAAGTATGTTGGTGGGAAGGTATACTCAATTGTGCCATTCCAGCATTAAGAGAGAGAGAAAAAAAAAAGAAAAAAAGAAAGAAAGAGAGAGAGAGAGAGAGACTCAATTGTGGCCTGGAAAGGATCTAAAATTGGTCCATTGCCTCAAATTCAAGATATAATTTCCTGTTCAGTTTTATTTTATTTGTTTAAAAGATATTTCCTATTCAGTTGCTTTCTTTTTGTACTGGATTGAATTAGCGATTACATTGCTGCTTATCATTCAGATTTCTTTAAAGAAGAATAATTGTCAAGACTAGCATGGAAAGCTACAGAAATGCTTTACATATCATTTCAATAACTTATTCTGGTATGGCTAATATTGTGACAATTGTACACAACATAGGAAATGGATCAATGGTGTCCTCACGTCCCCAAAAATGGATCAGCGGTGTCCTCACGTCCCCGACTCAATGACCACTTGAAAATCTATTGAGACCATAGGGCTACAGAACTTCACTTGACATATTTCTTAAACCAATTTAACATGTCCAAATGAGCCTCTTCAGCACTCTTGACAGCTGCTTGCTCTTCATCATTGTACCTAACAGTCCAACCATGAGCCACCCCTTGGAATATCTTCACAGAGCTATCAAACTGGAAAAATTGCAATTGCTAAGAGTGAGGCTAATTTTCAATACAAAGGCAAAGTGGAAGTAACTATCAAAGATCACTCATGAATTTTAAGGCAGGAGAATCTAATGGAAAAGTCATTTTCAATTTTACATTCTGTTCCCCATAGGAATATTTTGACTGCTCTGATAAAAACTCATCTAGGTTCCAGCAAGTTCCTAAGATTTGATGATCTTCTTAAATTTTTTTTGTTCCTTACCTCGGATTTAGCCGATAAAATCTCTCCAAAATGTTTCACTTGCTCTGGCGGTGTAGCATTGTCAATCTCAGCTCCCAATATCGCAATGTGAACTTTTACTTCTGAAAGATGAGTTCAACGTTAGCACCAAAAAATTTTGGCATGAGAATGAAACATGATCGAAAAACTTACCATTAATCTCTTCATCTGTCAGCCAGCCAGGATGCAGCACAACCGCAGCTTGAATGTCGGTAGAACTCGCTAATTTCACCACAACGCACCCTGAAAAAATGCGAAGAGACACGATTTTGTTGGCTAAGCCTACTCTAAGTAGTTCTATGTGAAAGAGTCCTTGAGTTGAAAAAAAATTTGAAACCAGATTTTGCCTAACCTCCCCAGCAAAAACCCGCAGCTCCTACGGCAGAAACACCCTTACTCTTTAAAGAAGCAACCACTTGTTTAGCATCTTCATACCCTTTATCCTGCAAGTCAAGAACTTACTAAATTGAGCTTAAACCACTCCAAAAAGGAAAGGGCTTTATGAGTTTTGACGATTCTCTTTAGATCCCAAAGCAGTACATTTTGTTTTTCTTGAAGGTAAATGTTGTGTCATTATAAATCAAAACTAGCAGAAAAAAGTTTCCACATTGTCATTCTCTTGGTTCTTGAATAATCCTTTATAGGTGACTTCCTAAAGTGATTGTATCTGCATCTTGTAAAGAAAAGTAACTAACCTTGGGATGAGCTTTTGACCACGAATTGCGATCGATTTGAGGGTTACCAAGATCGAGAGGATCGCCGTAGAAAAAATCAGGAACTACAACCAAAAACTGACCAGCTTCCGCGACTTTATCCGCAAGTTTCCTTTACATAAAAAAAAAAAAAAGAAATTGCAAAATTTTATTTCAGTCTCTACATTTTGATTGATATTTAGTTGGCCTAGAGATTTTACATATCAGGATTCAGGAGAAAGTCCTCCATAGTTTAGGAAAGCTTAATGTAAGTTAAGCATACATTAGTTTAAAAGTGGGCTAATTAAGCACTAAATTGGCAATTTCACAGACATTAGAGTTTTGTGGACTTTCTGTTCTCTCCAATTGCCTCATTTTGTAACTATATATTTTGCAAAGGAAAAGGAAGTTCCATATACTAAGAACAAAACCAGACATTTATGAGTCTAAAGCCAATGAAATCCTATTTTGGGTATTCTATAGTAAATCAAGTTCAAAACCACTTCTCAAGAACAAAACCAGACATTTATGAGTCTAATGCCCATGAAATCCTATTTTGGGTATTCTAGATTAAAGCAAGTTCAAAACCACTTCTCAAGAACATAATCAGACAAAAGCAGACATTTATGAATCTAAAGCCCATGAAATCCTATTTTGGGTATTCTAGAGTACATCAAGTTCAAAACCACTTCTCAAGACAAGTTAAATCACAAGAAGAAAAATACCTTAATTTTGGAGCTTCATATCCTGCAATTCATATGAACAAAAAACCATTTTAAGTGTTTTTATTATTTTTTTTTATACTAAGAAACAGAAAAAGGAAAAAAAAAAAAAAAAAAAAAACAAAGCAAACAGAGAGAGACCAAAGGAAAAACCAAAAATATATGCACTCAAGAACCAAAAGTCAACACCCACTTTCAGACTTTCTCCAATTTTGAGTTTTCTTGTTGCAAACAATACATACCCCTCAAAAAAAAAAAAAAAAAAAGACAAAAAGACAATAATGAGAAGCTAAAAAGGTACCAAAAACATCGGAGACAAGAAGGATTGCCCGGTTGGAATCATGAGGACCGGTGATGTATGTTTTGAGGCCCCCAAGTTGTCGGACAGATCCCAATCCAGATGTTGAGGAGCTGAAGTTTGGTGGATTCTCAAAGCACTGAGAACTTGACATGATGATCTCCAAAGATTGTGGAACTGGAATCAATCTAGTACTAAACTAGATTACTTGGTTCAGATATTGAAGTACAAAGATATATCAGATGGCAGATAATTATGGCAACCCAAAAAAAAAGAACTGGATCAAGCTAGCCAATGCGTCACTTCTTACGTCACACACATTGGAGCCTCGCACAGCGCGCTCCGGCGAGTAAAATAAGGAAAAAAAAATTCCCTAGTATGTTTGACCAATGAGACATCAGTTCGTTTTTCTTTTATAAATGGAGAGTTTCTCTCGTGGGTTAGCGTATTGGTGGATCAATTTTTTAATTATTAAATTTAGTGTAAAATGGACATTTTTTGATATAAATTTAAAAATTATTGATTTAAGCTCCTTTATAATTTATAATATACTGCATAGAATAAATCGTTATTATTATTACATTATATATATATATAAATCAAATGCTTATGAGTTAACTAAAATATGATCATACTTTTGGTGGCTCATTAGCAATGGCAATGTTATGCAACTTAGGCCCCGTTCATTTCGTTAATTCGAGTTTAGAATTCGAGTTTTGCTACAGTAAAAAGTTCTCACATAAAATCACATCTCAACTCGAATTAAAAACTCGAATCAGCGAACTAAACGGGCCCTTATTATGTGAAGGTAGGAGAGCATTAGATATATTATATTTGGCATAATGTATGGTATGAAGTATCTATATTTATGTGGTTTCAGGCTTAGCGTAATGGTAGTCGGTAAATCCACACTTGTCTCCTATATTGAAATTTAGAGTTCGAATTCCTCACTTCGAGTTAAAAAGGAAAAGGGAAAAAAAAAAAAATATATATATATATATATATATTGTACACCTGGATATACTCATTTGAATATGTATCTGTATGTATAATTAGGGCAATTAATAGTATTTGACGTATAACATTGATTTGCACTCAAGTAGATGTAACCTAAAAGAAAGAATAAATTATGGTAATTATTGAAATTACAGAGAAGTGCACTAGGCAAAAATGACTCAAATGAAACTGATAAATAACATAAACTTTGGTAACCTCATAAAGTACCGGTATTACCTATAAAAGTCCAAATTACAAAGCTAACACGTTTAAAGGGAAAAAAAAATCACTAGGCTCTGTTTGATATAAGAGTTCAAACTAAGGTGATTTTTAGTTTTGAATTTGAAATTAGAACCATGATTCATAATTTTGAGTCCAAATCGTGGTTCTGAAACCAGAACAAAATCAGGAGTTTGAACCACCTAAAACTAAGGGAGGGGGTGGTTTTAGAATCAACGGTGATTCTGGTTTAAAACATCACATCATGATTCGAACATTAAATCAGAACCATCTAAACTAAACACTAATTATGTAGAGTCAAATCAGAACCACTTTTAACTTTTTATAAACAAATACTAGTTTGAACCAGAACTATGATTCCGGTTCTAGAACCCTTATACCAAACGTCAACTAAGCTTCAAGCAAGGGGTTGATCTTTAACCTTTTAGACCCACCACCACTGTGGTTAGTATGTGTGACAAGATTTTTGCATGACTTCCGATTGTGTCCTAACTCGCTGCAACGACTACACCTTATGCCTTTCTTAACTTCATAGGTAGATGAGATTTTTTGTTTCTTAGGCCTCCCAACAGCTTCACTTTGCTTCCGGTGTGCCTACTTTTGCTTGTTCTACATTAGTACACAAATCCTCTGGGTTACCCCTAAGCGCTACTCGTGCCAAATCACAAGCTCGCCAAGCTTTATTGTAACGCCATGCTTCACCCGCATATAGTCAACTATGTCACCAGGATCAATATTTTCCCCCACCATCATTTTTTATCTTCTCTTTTAACAAATTGACTAACAATGGCACTAGTTGCTTGTCGATGATCGGATTGGACAACATCAAGAGAACACGTGTGCTCGGAGACATACTTCCTGACCTTCCATAGCTCGGAACCCTTAAACCTAGATGCACAAACATACCAACCGCACTTCTCTTCCACGCAAACAACTACGAGAGTCCCGTTGTTGGATTTCTTCGTTTTGAACTCGAAATTGTTCTTCATCGCGATAAGATGGAGCGCCTTCTTCAACTCAAATTTGCTAGCAAACGTCAATCTCTCCTTTATGTCATAACCATCTGGTAAGTTACCAACATCCACATTTTCGATAAGCGCTGGCTGATCAACCTCGTCATCAATAGCACTGTTTTTCGTGGTTTTTTTTTGCGAAGAATCGATACTCTTCATGGTTGTCAAGTCTTCAGCATACTTAAAAACATGTTGAACTAAATTATCAACATTAGACACATTCTCATCATCACTTGTTGACATTGAGGCGATCAATGGACAACTACAATCCTTAACATCCTTCACCAAGTTGAGAAACCATCTAATGTCTTCATCGTTCTTTAACTCAATAACACTTTTTGTTGGAGGATTTTTGGTCTAGATTGTACATTAGATTGATCGGACGGTGATTATTGCCTAACAGTAAGTCCACACCTAATTTTTGAACCAACGAAGAAAATGAGATATCCGCATTGACCAACACTCCCTTCATCTTTGTAGTCAACATAGTTGTGTGACGCATCCCATTTTCCGTCATGAAAAATAATGATATAGACAATAACTTATAGACGTATGCTGGAAAAAAAAAATTAAAAACTACATAACAAGTACTAACAAATAAAAGATACATATAAACATGCAAATTTCCAGTGAGATAAATCATTTTGAAACCCCTAAAAACTATTAAAATTTGTGACAAACATCTAGTAGTATACATCACTTTTTTTTTTGGCTAGTATTATCTAGATAGTACTAAGATTCACACAATTGTGAGTTTATAAATTAGTAACGGGGTAAGTTTATAGTAATTTGGAAAGGAAAAGAGGCAGGGCATGTAGTTTTTTGGGATGTTTGTTTCAAGGGTTCGTCAGTGGTTCTTGATTCTTTACAGTATTTTTTTCTCACAAAAAATTTGAATTTCAAAAATTAGAATTATGAATCATGGTTCTGAACCCATAAACTAAACATCTCCCAAAATGTATTGAAAATCGGAAAGAGAGAGAGAGAGAGAGATTACAAGATAGTGATTTCTGAATGAAGGGAAGAGGAGTGAATATGTGGATGAAGGAAACAAAAGTGAATGTGGAGTTTGGTAATGTTTAGAACTGATGTGAGAATCTTGTGGAGTAATTCATGGGATGTTTGTTTTAAGTGCTCGTCTCTGGTTTTGAATCATGGTTCTTGGTTCTCTACAGTGCTTTTCTCTCACAAAAAAATTAAATTTTAAAAATCAGAATCATGAATCATGGTTCTGAATCCATGAATCAAACGTCCCATCAAAGTCGAAATGCAATTTAATTGTAATTTTTTTTCAGAACAATTGCAAATCAAAAATTGAAGGATTTGAATAGGAAATAATCCCACAAAATCGGAGAATAAGATCATACCATAGTTAGCACTACAAAAGAGTAAATTACAGATTTTACCCTATAAAAGTATAGAGTTTAAGATTTTTACCCTTTACTCTTAATTAATACTCTTTTAACTAATATAGTTGTTTAACTAAAGGGTGTTAATTAATAATAAGAGATAAAAATCTAAAACACATGCATTTTAATAAGTATTTGTCTCTTTTTCCTTAGCAAACTAAAAAGATTTATATTATTTGATTAAATACAGAATCACAATATTAGAAAAATAAGGAAAACAGAATCACAGTCTACTCTGTTGAATATATTGCAATTTTTGAGAATCATAATATTATGCAAACTTTTTTATATTTGAGAATTATATCATGTAATCTTGCCATTTATTGATGATCCAAAATAAAAAATTGCCATTTATTGAATTTATCGTTGTAGCTAAAAATTGTGAGTTTGTTCTTTTGAAGTGTGACTTGAGTGTAGTTTTTAAGTTGAATTTGAGTTATAACTCGAGTTTAAAGTTGTAACTTAAATAAAGTTAAATAAAGTTGAATAAAGTTGAAACTTAAAAGAACGTGAACTTAAATAAAGTTATAACTCAAGTTTAAACTTTTTCTAAATTTTGTTGTAAAAGAACACACCCTTGACTACAATGTTTAAAATTCAAATTTTAGCAAGTGACCTTTTCAATATATATATATATATATATATATTACTTTTTTTAGTAAATGGATGTATTCATCATTTATCGATAATAAAAAAGGCTGGATTTACTCATTAAGTATGAAATTTAATAATTAAATTAGCCAATAAATATTGTATTTATTTATTAAATGTAAAAAAATTTGGAATAATTAGTTAGTTAATATGAGATTTACTGATTAATAATTTATTTAAAAATTTCTCCGAAGATTTGGCTGTTTTTTAAAGAGTAAATTACCTCCCTAACTTTGACTATTTCCCAGTTAATCAGGCAACTATTGGGCCAGATTCGTAGCCCAAACTTCGTCTTCAGAAAGCCCAATTTGTCATTTAATAAGCCCATAAATCAACTCACATGTTACCACCATCTTACACCAAAACGTCGTCGTTGCAAGGAATTTCCGAATTCCGAATCCATCGCGTAGATTCCCAAACCCCGACATCATAAACGAAACATTTCCAACCAAAAAAAAAGAAATTTGTATTTTGTAAACTTTGTCCCTAAACTTGTAGAATTTAGCAATTTATCTCATGAATTTTTAATTTTAATTATTTACCCTTAACCTAAAAAACTACGCGCCTTATTTTATCAATTTTGCAACTATTTTGGTCAAATTTTAAAGGATTAAGAATTCAAAAATAAAAAGATTTTGCATTACGATTTGTATTGAGATGAATTTTTTTATACAACCTAATTTTTCATGAGAATCATGAAATAAATACATTTTATAATAATTTTACAAATTAAAGAGAGTCATTTGATTAGTATATTTATGTTATAATTTAAATTATAATTTATTATAATATTTTTTTATAAAAAATATACATAAATTAAAAATAATTTTAAATTTACGATCCAGAACTAAACCGTAAAATATCTAAAAAAAAAAAAAAAAATCATAAAATCATCGTAAACCGAAACACTAACAAAATTCTCTCTAATCATAAAGCATCGGTTTGTGTGATTTTCATTCCTTTCCTTGGGTGTTGTTTTTCCCACTTCCCTTGTTCGTGAGGTTTTTGAAGGGTTTCTCTCTCTCTCTAACGTTGCCACAGAAGAAAGAGAGAGCACGAAAAAAATGGGGTCTTTGACAAATGGGCTTGAGAAAGAAAGACATAAAAAGAAAGAAGAAGAAGAAGAAGACGAAGAAGAAGAAGAGCCAATATTAATGGAACAAACCCAGAGATTCTGCATGTTTCCCATAAAATATAAACCGCTTTGGGAGATGTACAAGAAAGCTGAAGCCAGTTTTTGGACCGGTAAATAAAGTTCTATAACTGTTTCATTTCTCTCTCTGTTTCTCTTTATATTAATGTTTTTCTTTGAAAAAAGCTTTGTTTTTTATTAGTGTCACTTGGGTTTTCTTTTTGCTTAATGGATTTTGGAACAAGTTAATTTTTGGGTTTTTGAAGATGTTAACTTTCTTAATTTGGGTTGTTTTTGGAAAATGCTGTTGTTTTCCTAGTTGTTGATTTGGGTTACACTCGGAATTCCAAGGAAATGGAAGTTGGGAATTGCTCTGTTTCTGTTTAGGATTGTAGGTTTAAATTTCAGTTGTCTTTAGTTGAAAAAGCATTCGCTTTCTTTTCAGTTATTGGGGCCCAGAACATTGCTTCGGATGATATACTTATGGTGTCTGCTTTCCCGAGCTGAAATTAATATTTAAATGTATTTTGTTTTTAGGTTCAAAATTACATTTTTCTTTTTCTGGTACTAGTGGGTTTTTCCACCTCTAATCAGTTGTTGAATTGCATGAAATGTAGTTTTTATTCTGTCTGATATAATGTGATTTTTTTTTTCTGAAAAATAAAAAAAAGGATTCTGTAATGTGATGGAAAACATGATTGTTGAACTAGATTTTCAGTGATAATTTGGAGAATCGTGATCTTTATGGTATGATTAAGAGCTAACAAAAAGGTCTTTTTAAATGTTTTTGGTCCCAAGTAAAAGCACTAGGATCTAATTTTGTCCACAGCTGCTTGAGGCTAGCTCAATTGGTTGAGTGAGTGAGTGAGTGCATGCGTCCACCAGGGTTTGAATTCTGATGGTTTCATTTCTTATAGTAAAGTGGGAACCACAGGCCCCACATCATACCCAAAAAATGTCCCCCAAAAAGTTGAAAATTTTCCGGGCACACTGATTTCATGTGCTTTACTGCTTAGAATTTATGTGCACAAGTTGGCTTGTTTCTGTTTTTTATTCTAATTAGGAGAATTCTATGTTGGGTATGAGAAAATTAAACCTACAACTAAGACACAATTATGAACCATCAGGTCACATTAGAATCATATCAAAGTAAGAAAAGTAAAGCGTTTAACAGAACATGGCAAAAATCTATGGTTCAGTGCCTTCGCTACTTTATCTTTTCTTCCTACTGGAGAATTCTCCTTCTGATTAATGTGTTGATGGGGTTATTCTACAGCTGAAGAGGTTGACCTCTCTCATGATGTCCAACAGTGGGAGGCTCTGTCTGACTCGGAGAAACACTTCATAAGCCATGTATTGGCTTTTTTCGCTGCGTCTGATGGGATTGTTTTGGAGAATTTGGCTGCAAGATTTCTGAACGATGTTCAAGTTCCAGAGGTGAATTTCTTTATTGTGCTCTTTTCTTTAGGAGAATATGGTGTTTTTCTTTCTTTCTTTAGGCATTTGAGTGTTCAGTACCTATATTTGAAGGCTTGATGTTCATTATATTTTTTATTTTTTCCCCCTTTTTTTTTTTTTTTTTTTTTTTGCATATTGCTTTGACTAGTTTACCTCTAGTTAAAGTTATTCTAGTGAAGAGTCATATGTTTTCTAGTTAATTGCTTGTCAAATTTTATAACATGGCCAAGTCTATGATCTTTTTGCAAAAGGTATATTTTTATTTTTCTCCGGATTAGTATTCTTAAAAGAAATAAAAGACTGCCTGATTTTTTTGATATAGTACTTTGCTCTGCCTTTTTAAAGCAAGTTGTTGGAATCCTCTTCGGCCTGTTTGGATTAGCTTATTTAGTCCAAAAGCCGCTTTTAAACCTGTTTGGATGGACAATCTTAAGTGCTTTTAGCTTTTTTAAGCGCTTTAAGCTTTTTTAAGCACTTTTAGAACAAGCCATCTCCTTGGTGTTTATGAAATAAGTGCTTAGGAAAAGGTTTTTTATTTACATTTTTAACCTTTTATTTACATTTTTAACCTTTTATTTGTGAACAACAAATTAAATATTCCATCCATATCTTTTTATTACATTACTTTTTATAACAATAAGCGCTTTTGTCTTTTTTACCTAAACAGGTTCAAAAGCTCTTCTTAGATATAAAAGCACTTTTTTAGGCACTATCCAAACACTAATTAAAAAGTCCCAACTTATGCTTATCTTCTTCTACTACTTAAAAGCGCAAGCACAAACTATCCCAAACAGGCCCGAAGGGATAGTTTGTTTTTCATGATTTTTTTTGCTTTTTTTTTTTTTAAGGCGTATATATAAGACAATTTATGAAGTATATGCCTAATAACAAAAAAAGGAATTTATTATTCTTAAAAGTTGCAATATCTAGCTTACCTTTTCTTCCCCCTCCCATCTCACCCTTATTTTTCAATTAGCTCAGATTCATCACTGCTTTGACATCTATTCTATACTTTTTAGCTAACTTATTAACATCAATATTACTCATTTCTCTCAGGCTCGGGCATTCTACGGCTTTCAGATTGCAATGGAGAATATTCATTCTGGTGGAGCTTTGTGTAATGATACCTGTAGTTTTTATGCTTTTATGGTGCATTTTGCAGTACCTGATTAGGTGTGTTTTTTTTTTTTCCTATCAGAAATGTACAGTTTGCTTTTGGAGACATATATCAAGGATTCAAGAGAGAAGCACAGGTTGTTCAATGCAATTGAAAACATTCCTTGTATCACTAGGAAGGCTAAGTGGGCTTTAGATTGGATAAAGAGGTACCAATGCATTTATTTTTAGTCACTTGCTTATGTGATTACATTATCTAAGTGTGTGATTTTTTATCATTAGCATTCTCGAATCTCTTTGTTCATCTGAATCTCTATGTAGTATTACCGTATTAGTATTTCGGGCTCTTAAATTACTGCCCAGTTTAATATTAGGCAGATTTTAACTAGATTCTTGCTGCTATTTTGTCTAAAGGAGCTCAAATTTGTTGAATCTTTAGTATTGCAGTAGTCAGTCTCTTCTATAGTTTCACGTACACAGTTCATTGATGTTCATGACCTGCAGTTCCACCTCGTTTTCGGAGAGACTTGTTGCTTTTGCTTGCATTGAAGGAATCTTTTTCTCCGGAAGGTAGTATCTTTTAAGGGGGGGAAAAAAAGAGTTTGGACACTTGCTTTACTCTACAATGTGTCAAGTTTCTATACTTTAATAATTTGCCTTGGTTTTTGTTGTTTATTGTGCCATCCTCAGCTTCTGTGCAATATTCTGGCTCAAAAAGAGGGGATTGATGCCTGGCTTGACATTCTCAAACGAGCTTATTTCTAGAGATGAAGGCCTCCACTGCGATTTTGCTTGCCTTCTATATAGGTAACTTTTGCCCTTTTGTTTTGGTCTCTACTCCCTTTCTCTTGCTCTTGTTTTGGAGTTCATTCTTCATAAATTTTCGTATTTGGTGCCTGCTACAAATTGAGCGTAAAGCTTCCTGGTACTGTTACATCTTTTTCTTGACTGAATCTGGTTTATTTTCTCCCTCGAAAACTTGGATAAAAGAATTTGCCCCTTTCTGTATAAAACTTGGATAGAATTTGCCTTCTATATAAGTACATGCTATGTTCTATGTTGTTGCTAACAGTTTGTTGCGGAAGCAACTACCTCGGGAAAAAGTCTATCACATTGTGGACGAAGCTGTCGAAATTGAGACACAGTTTGTTTGTGAGGCCCTTCCATGTGCATTGATTGGGATGAACTCAACCCTAATGAGACAGTACATCAAATTTGTTGCTGATCGACTTTTGGTATCTCTAAAAACTCATTTTCCCTTTTTTGTTTTGCTTTGGTTTTTGCATTTTCATTGAAGTGGTGTTTTGTGCTTCCAGGTTTCATTGGGATGCCAAAGAAAGTATAATGTGGAAAATCCTTTCGATTGGATGGAGTTCATTTCTTTGCAGTAAGTTTCTATAAGAATTCAGCTCAACTATTTTGATTAATACTTTTGCAAGCACTATAGAAAATGACAGATTTCAAGGCCTTTCGCCATCCTTCGTTGTATGCCCATGTCCCAACTGTTGTGCAATAATTGATCTTCAATCTCTATTAGAAAAACGAATTGTTAGAAAAAGCTCGAGGGCACTAGTGGTGTCCACCTGTGCAAGTAATAGAAGGTGAGCCCCCTTCTATGGGATCATACTATGGGACCCACCTTCTATTAGTATGTGGTGTTAGACACCACTGGTGTCCCTACCTCTTCTCAAATTATTACGCATAAAAGACAATGAGGTGAAGAACAAACAAGTGAAGGTTTCTCTTCCCCACCTTGAGTTAACCGCATTCAGTCTCTGGTCTGTCCTCCTGAACCGGATTAACCCGCTCAAGTTGGGTGCTAAACTTCTGATCATGATGTCCTCCTACTGGTCTCAAACTTGCTCGTAAATCGTTTCTCTTTGATTGTGCAGAGGAAAGGCGAACTTCTTTGAGAGAAGAGTGGGTGACTACCAGAAGGCGTCTGTGATGCCAAGCCTTCAAGATGATGGAAAGAACTTTGTCTTCAAGTTGGATGAGGACTTTTAATCACCACTCTTAATTCCACAAGTCTTTCATTTAGATGCTCAAACTGAGCATCAAATTTTGGTTACTATTCTTTATGGTAACACAATATTTTGTCTAATGTCTATATAGCCTACCCCATATCCAAGCCATGCCAAGGTCTCATGGCATAATATGAAGTGATCATTTGTTATGTTGGGGCCGTCCTTAAACTAGTCATATACCCAGTTTTTATTTTTTATTTTTTTATTTTTATCCGTACCACTATTTCATATGAACTATAATATTTCTTTGTGAAAAATGCTTAGGATACCGTCAGTGCTAAGCACCACCAATAGTAGAAAGTGGACCCATCTGTGGGTCTATATTACAGAACTCACATTTTATTAGTGAATGGTGTTGAGCATTACCGGTGTCTAATAGCATTGCTCTCTCTTTCTTATTTCTGATTTCTGAGGAGATGTTTTGTATCTACATATTATAATTATATATATGGATGGAATTTGGGTGGGAATGTGGAATTTTCAATAGTATAAAGTTAAGAGGTGTCAAGATGGCATGTTTAGGCACGACATGACATAAGCCAACACTATTATGCCATAACTAAAGACTGTAGAAGGTACATAAGCCAACACGATTATGCCATAACTAAAGACTTTCGAAGGTATTTTTCTTCAGTTGCTTTCGTAAGCTAATTGATTAGCATTTTTCTTAATCAATTTTCAACATAAAGTAGTAATCTTAGATATAGTGCATGAAATAGAAAGGAAAGACATTGATATATTAACTTGTTTGTGGCAGTGGCATTACTGGTGCAACACTGACCACTTATTTTAAACATCTTATAATATTAGTTCCGGTGCATTGCTTTCAAAGAATTGCAGGTAATATCCATGGCTTTTCTCTATGGAATCCGATTGTTAGTGGGAGAGAACATTTACATTTAATCTGTTCAACATAACAAAAAATGGCAATAGCATTATTGACAGCAATGATCACCACAACTACTGGGGAGACATTATTTATTTGCCACTATAATTTTTGTTTTAAATAAATCATAGATTTACATCTCAGTTCTTGAGATATATGTGAATTTTATGATGCCAGTTTTTCCATACTGAGGTGACCATTACTAAAAAAAAATAAGTCTTTACCGTGGAGCAAGTTATTTTGTTTCATTGGTAGGAACTATTTTATACCATTAGATTAAATTTTCAATGGTTAAATATATAGTATGAGTAGTTCTGTGTGGCGTGATGTAAATTTTTAATATGGACGTGCACAGATGTGTCTAATGGACCTCACTAACTTGTGTTTGACGGGACCATAACTAGGGCCGGTAATATGGGTCACAACATAGCTTGAAAACAACACGAATTTCGCGGGTTAAGTTTGAGAAAAAAGAGGTTCGGGTCAGAATTGGATCGACCTAAAATTGACACAAAAAACACAGGTTAATTTCGAGTTAGACCCGCCTAACCCGAACACGACACGAAACTCGTAAAAAACTAAAAAATACATATATCTTTCATTACATATTTTTAATTTTATTATGAACTTGTAATATCATGATAGTTATACTCAAAATCTTATACTATTTGTTTAATTTTAATGGATGTTATTATATTTTAGTGTGTTATGAATTTTAAGTTATTTTTAATATGTAAAAAAATAAATAAAAGTATACAATTTTCGTGTCAATTTCAGGTTCACGAGTCAATTTAGTGTCACGGGTCATTTTCATTTCGTGTCGTGTCGTGTCAACCTGTAAAGTGGTCGTGTCGTGTTCGTATTGTGGTTTTTAAAAAATTTCGTGTCACGAGTCGTGTTCGAATTGACTGTAAATTTTAAAAAAATAATCAAAATACGATACGAACACGACACGTGACACGAATTGTCACCTCTAACCATAACCCCGTTTGCGTTGTATAGCATTTTTTCTTTTCAGCAATTGGATGTTGAAATAAAAATATTGTCATCTAGCTGTCACTTGATAAATACCGAAAAAAGCACGACGTCTAAGATTGTTTGTGAGCCTCATTCATTACCAATATTTGTACTAGAGAGATACACCATGAAAATAATGGAATGTGTCCTAACTCTATAATTGCTTGTTTTCCCTACTAGATCAATCTCAAAAGGCATGTATGTGTATTCTACAGTACTAGATGCCCTTCTTTTTTACTATATAATAATGGATTACTCATTGTTTGGTTCACAGATTTAGAACCATGATTTTTAATCATTCTCAATTTATATGTATTTTTTATAAAAAAATAATATAACGAGTCACGAATCATGATTCAAACTATATCACGGAACCTTATAACAAATACCAAATAAATTGTTTAATTCATTGTGGGACCTACTTTGGAGAATAATAATACATACCGAATTTAGATGTACCTGCCCGTGATTGGCAATATGGTGTGCAAGGCCTTACAGAGAGGACATGATACTAATTTTATTGCTTGTCTTTATAAGAAAGAAGAATATTGTCCAGTACAAGTACTTGTTAGATTGTATTAATTAAAAGACAGATTAATTTTTGGAATTTCATTGGTGAAGGTAAAAATGAGTGTCCAAATGAAAACATAGATAAAAGTTGTGAAGGACTCGAAGTGTGTGGTCCAATTAGGGAAGGCCACGTTATCCCCCTGGAGAAAAACGTGGGTAGCAATCAAAGCAAAATGGTTCTTGACAAAGATGTGGCATCATTTCATTAATTATATATGGTAAAATATCAACTTAATGTCATAATAACGCACGTTATCATCTAGTTATGTACTAGTAATCATGGCTTCACAAGCAGTATTATGTCTGTACCCACTAGATGAAAATCGATGCTTAGATCAACTTTTAGGTCACGTTGAAATTCATTTTAAAATAATTTTATTTTTTTTATAAAAATAAAAATAAATTTTTTTTATTTTTAAATATAAATTATTTTTAAAAATATGTTTGGTAATTTTATCAAGAGATTATTTTTAGTGTAAAAAAATTCTTTAATGTCTCTCTTTCTCTCTCTGTTGGAGAGAGACGAAAACGAAAACAAAAAATGAAAAACGATATTTTTTTTATAAAAATAAAAATAAAATGTTTTCAATCTCAGACATAAATTATTTTTAAAAATACGTTTTGTAGTTTTATCAAGAGATTATTTTTAGTGTAAAAAAACCCGTTAATGTCTATCTTTCTCTCTCTGTTGGAGAGAGAAGAAAACGAAAACAAAAAATGAAAAACGACTAAAAGTCGTTTTTCATTTATCTTTCATTTTACACTAAATTAAAAAATCGTTTTCATTTCTCTTTTTTGTCTTTATTGCGCCAAACGCCGTTTTGAAAATAATTTCATTTTTTCTTTCTCGAATAACATAAAAAATAAAAATGGGATCAATTACAAACACGGCCTTAAATTTAGTAAAAATAAATGAACTCGTATGTATAGTCTAACAATGCTTTTGCAAGAGATTCTCTCTGCAAATGAAATATATTTCATATTTTCCTTTATTAAGGTCTAACACTTAGATGGCCATATAATGCGTGCTAAGTTACACATAATTTAAAAAAAAAATTAAAAAGTTATAAATATCTTTAATTCATTATATTTTCCAACAAATTATTCATTGTCACATATAGTTATAGCTTATGAAAAATGTGTCTTGGCATTTGCAATAGCTACCAAAATGTGATATGGCATTGCTGACCTATAATTAAAGTCATGACAAACAATTATTTATCTAAATTTTTCTTAATTATGCATTAGCATGTTCCTACGTTTTTATGTGGACTTCACAATCAAAATCACGTTTGCTTGCTTTGGTCGTCTTGATTTTGGTAGTAAGCCACTCTCTTTTAAGAGGCACGTCTTAATCAAGTACACATAAAGAAACACCAAAAACTAAAAAGCTAGGATAAGAAATGATTATTTTTTATTAATAATATATATATATATGTTAATTCCTCAATGCCTTAGAAAATACACCACCACCTTAATATATATATATATATATATATATATGGCTTTCTCAATCTTTCCCACTTTTTCCCCTCCCACCAACCTCAAATCAGCTCCTAACAACTCTGAACCTCTCAAATGAAGCAGTTAGTACTCGTGGGGCGATTCACCCATTTCACCTAACTCCACATACATATTCTTCACAAATTCAAATCTTTTTCCATGCAAAGTGGCACTGCCTCATGAAATCATACTTCAACACAATTAGCTTACTAATTATCATTGTTATTGGTGTACAGTTAGGGAAGAATCATAATCAACCAAACTTATTATCCTAAGCAATCCATGATTAAAGTGATTCCCTTTTCGTACCTTTAACCAACCAATTGATCACGAAGGATTATTTATGTGAGATTAAACGGATTAGATTCTCTTCCAACCAATTCTTCTTTTTTCCCCCCCTTATATTTTAAGTGAACATTTGTGGGAGGTTGAACCATATTAGTTGAAAAACATTTGACAATAATGACAAAAAAAATAAAAATAAAAAATGATATGGAGAGTTTTTTTAGTAGATCATGAGAAAATAAACTACCCAAAAATTTTAAGGCATCAAAAACTGTATATTCACATTTTTTTTAATTTAATATAATTTAACAGTTAAAAACTAATCTTTATTAACTCTCCCAAAACATGTCTTTTCAAGCTACTAATCGTTCTAACTAAATAAGGCACTAGTGCGTACCTACCCAAATGTCCATCTCATATTTCCTGCCATGAAAGGAATACAAATATAAATTTTTTTATTTTTTATTTTTTGAGAAACGAGTATGAGGATAAAGTTAGTTGTCCTCACTTGGGGAAAGTGGGAAAAAAGTGACTCTTTACCTTTCCTTACCAATAAATTCCAAAAGAAAATTTGCCCATATCATCATCATCATCATCATCACTTGGTGTTGGAGTTAGTGGGGTACACACCCCTCCTGTCATCATCTCTACCAACTCCTAACCACTATAAGTTTCTATGGCACCCTTTGCAAATGAAAAATAATTGGGAACAAAGATGCATTGATCCTTCTTGGTGCAATTCAAAAAGGAGGGAAAACAGAAAAAAAAAAAGTTATTTATTATAATTTGTTCACTTTGTGAATTCAAATTTTTAATTCGCATTGAGATGTGACATTTTTTTAGAATTTTTTACTGTAGCAGAAAAAGTTAGATGTGATATTTTTTGAGAGCTTTTTTACTGTAAAAACCTAAAACTGAAAACTCGAATCGGTGAAATGAACGAGGCTTTAGTGTCAAGATATAAAATTTGGCATATCGTAGAGTGGTGTTAAATTATTTTACTTTTATGATATGATAATTCTATTTTATTAGAAAAATATTTAAGAATAATTCCGGTGTTAAGCACTGAGCCGAGCCAAGCCACTCATCATTTCCCTCCGCGTGGGCCCCAAGTCTATTGCGTTTCTTTCTCTCTTAATATGGCTTGTGTGGCTCGGCTTAGTGGCTTAAATAGGGTGCATTTTTATGCACTTATCAAGCACCACTATTAGTAGAAAATAAATCTAATGTTACGAAACCTACTTTCTATTAGTATTTGGTGTGCAGCATCACACATACCTTGTAATATTGTTCATTTTACTAACACATATAGTAACATATGGTGTCCAATAACTACTAGTACTAGTAATAATAATAATAATAATAATAATAAATTTTATTGGTGTTGTTTTAGGGATTAGAGGGTCCTATTCAATCCCATGGCGGGGGAATATCTTGATTTAAAATTTTCCAAAATAGGAATCAAGGATAATGTATTTCAATCAAACAGTGGCCAACCCTTTGAGTCATGGCCCTACCATATGTGTGTGTGCACTTTGATCCCACGTCCCAAAAACCCAAAATGCTAAAAAAGGAATAACATTACTTCAAAATTACTTTTCAGCCTTGGTATTGTAGAAAATGTCCCTTTGTTGGCATTTCCTTTTTTTGTCTGCCAAGTTCATTGATAGAACATTGACTTTTTCCATCTAGTCCCTAATTAATTAGAAGCAAATAGCTAGCTCAATTATAAAACAGTTGTTTTGAGAACAAACGAACGGTGGATAATGTCACTTGACTTTTCATTTCAATGCTCCCAACAAAAATAATCGTCTCATTTCCATTTTGAGCTTCAATTTGCAAATATTGCATCTTTAACCTCCAATTTTACAAAATTTCTCAATTCTCACAGTCTCTAACATTGCAAAAATTTGGACACTTGGAAAGTGCAGATGGAGAAAAATTTTTAAAGTTCAAAATTAGAGAGCAAATTAATACAATCTAGATAGCTAAGAAGATAAGTGAGCTTAATCCAAGATTCTATGTTTATTATTTTGTTTTGCCCAAAACATCCCTAAAATCATGTTTAAACCCCACCACTACCCTCCCTCCCCCAATAAAACAAAACAAAAAAAGACCTTTTCAGCCTTGTACAAATACAAATAGAACACTTATATTATATTATCGTTGATTTAGTCAAAATTATATTAATATATAAAAAAAGTTTCTCATATAGATTTGAAAAATAACACTATCGATAGTGTATTTTTTATGTCCTATGTAGAACTTTTCATAAAATAAAATGTCTTTATTTTATTTTTTTTGATAAAATCCACAGAGAACACATAAATATATTAACTACGAGAAACATCAAAAAGAGCCCACATCATATTAACTATAGGGTTTTTTTTAATTTGCATGTTTCTAGACGTTAAAATTAATCATAATCCTACCAAAACTAAAACATATGTAAAACTTAAGAGAATCTAATACAAATAATACAAATATGACAGTCTAGAATAAAATAAAATGCTCTCATACCCATCTCTCATGTTTGACTCTTTTTTTTTCTTTTTCTTTTTTGATCGATCACACAAACTCTCCAAGCCGAGCAAAACATAACAAAGAAGACGTAAACGACACCTATCTTCTATCTCTCTCTCTAAACCATCTTCTCCCGCAGACTAACCCGAGAAAAAGGAAATAAATAAAAAAAACCGTTATCAGTCGGATCTGGCGGCTCGGAAATGGCGGTTTGCGTGGAGAGAAGCGTATGGGACAGTGTTTTGGAGCTGACGAAGGTGGCTCAGCAAAAGGGCAGCGACCCTTTGGTGTGGGCAATCCAGTTGTCGTCCAACTTGAACTCCATGGGCGTCTCTTTGCCTTCCGTGGAGGTCGCCAATGCATTGGTCTCCTACATTTGCTGGGAAAACAACGTCCCCATCGTCTGGAAGTTTCTAGAAAAGGCATTGGTCTTCAAGATCGTCCCTCCTTTGCTCGTCCTTGCTTTGCTCTCTAGCAGGTTTGTTTCTTGGTTTGTTTGTGCGTGTTTCTTGAAATTTCTCCTTGTGGGTATTGGGAAAAGGGTCTTAATTTGATTCAAAGTTTTCGTTTTTCTTTATTATATAAAAGAAAAACTGGATTGTATTTGTTGGGTTCTTTGTTATGTGTGGTTGTGTTGATTAAAATGTTGTGTTACTTTTTACGTGTGTTGTGTTGCGTTTCACGGTTTGAAATGGGACTTCTTGCTGGCAAAAGTATGAACTTTGAAACATTTGATATGTCATACTCTTTCTATTGGGTCATTCCTAGTAGATTGAAAGTTGGTCCTTTTTTTTTTTTTTTTTTTTTAAAAAATAAAATTTTTTTTTTTTTTTTTTTTTTTTTCAAGAACTAAAATGTTGTCTTTTTTGTTATGTTTGTTGTGCTGAGTTTCATGGTTTGAAATTGGTCTCCTTGTTGGTGAAAGTATAATCTTTGACACATATTGTTACGTCGTACTTTCTATTGGGTCATTCATAGTAGATTGGAAGTTGTTCTTGTTTTTAACTAGAATGTTATGTGCGGTTGTTTTGAGTTTCGTGGTTTGAAATTGGTCTCCTTGTTGCTAATAGTATAAGCTTCTACTCATTTATTATGTCACACCTTGTACTGGTCATTCCAAATATATTGAAAATTTTCTTCTCTCTCTCCCTCTGTCTAAAAAAAAAAAAAGAATGTTGTGTTATTTGGTGATGTGTGGTTGTGTTGAGTTGAAACGATCTACTTGTTGGTAAAAATGTAATCTTTGACACATTTGTTATGTCATACTTTCTTTCTACAGGGTCATTCCTAATAGATGTTCTCAGCCAGTAGCATATAGACTTTATATGGAACTTCTCAAGCGACGTGTTTTCACCCTTAAATCTCAGATGAACGGGCCAAATTTTGAAACGCAAGTTTTTGTTTTCGTTTTCGTTTTTCTTGTCAATGTCGTTCAACTTGATATTCTTTCATTTTATCGATGATTATGCTAATAAAAAGTTCATTTTCTTTTTTTCATCTTCAATTTCTTTCCTATTATCTTCATTCAGGGTTACGAAATCAATAGATGGTGTTCTTCATCTTTCCAATATATTTGGCCTGCCAGCAAGTGAGCCTGGGGTTTTTGTGGTTGAGTTTATCTTTTCTATGGCGTGGCAGTTGCTTGATGCATCATTAGATGATGAAGGGTTGCTTAACCTTACTCTTGAGCAGAATTCAAAATGGGTAACTAAACCGCAAGACGTGGAAATAGATGGTCATGGTGGTTATGGTGAGAAGTGGAGTGAACATAATGAGTTATTGAAGAATGCAAACACTGTCATGGCCATCGAGATTATTGGAGAAATGCTACAAAATATAGTGACATCAAGAATTCTGTTTTTGGCTCGTCGACATATGTATGAATTCGTTCTTTTCATTAAATTTTATGTTTCGTTTTGTCAAGCTTTAGATATGAAGAGTTCTTTTTGCATTTCGTTCTTGACTTCGTCTTGGATGGTAGATATTGCTTAAGAATGCTCTTCCACTTTCAGGCAAACACATTGGACGAGTTTCATTGGGAGATTACAGCTACTTGCAGCAAGTTCATCCTCGTTGAGAAACTCGAAAACTCTGTCACCGGAGTCTCTTCTCCAATTGACCTCAGACACTCGCATTGTCTTGTCTCGCGAATGCAAAACAAGTTCATTGCAGAAGTTCCATGCTGTTATGGCTTTTGGATCTCTGGCTTCTTCTGCTGGTCTCTGCCATGGGGCTAGCCGTTCTGCTCTATGGCTTCCTCTTGACCTTGTATTAGAAGATGCCATGGATGGATATCAAGTTGAGGCAACAAGTGCCATAGAAAGAATTTCTGGTAAAGCGCTGTTTATTTTTTCGCCTCTTGTTGTAGTTTTTAAGGTGGTCATCTCTTTCATGAAGACAATTCTTGTGAGGATAAAAATTTAAAAATTTCCATTTTTACAGGCTTGATTAAGACCCTCCAAGCAATAAATGGAACAACCTGGCATGACACGTTTTTAGGTCTTTGGATTGCAGCTCTTCGTCTAATTCAAAGGGTTAGACTATGTGACTTGTGTTGTGATTTAACTATGTTATTGAAATCTTTTGCAACAGTGAATATAACCTCCTCTTTTTTCTTTTTTTTTTTTTTTTTTTTTTTTTTTTTTTTTTTTTTTTTTCACTAAGCTGTTTTAGCACCAAATTTACATCAGACCAAAGCAACCATTACTTTATGAAGTGTCTTCTCATGTTCAGTTTTTTCACTTTGTTGTTAGGAAAGGGACCCCATGGAGGGCCCCGTGCCTCACCTCGATACTCGCTTATGCATGCTATTGTGCATCACAACTCTTGTGGTTGCTGACCTAATTGAGGAGGAAAGTGCTCTACTTAATGAAACAGAATGTGGCTCCACCAATCACTGGAAAGAAAAGGAGGTTCCGGGAAAGCGCCGGAACGATTTAGTCTCCAGCCTGCAGATGTTGGGTGATTATCGGGGACTGCTGGAGCCTCCTCAATCTGTTGTTTCCGTGGCCAATCAAGCTGCTGCAAAAGCAATGTTGTTTATTTCAGGCATTGGTGTTGGGAATGCATACTTTGAGTGCCTCAGTGTGGAAGACATGCCAATCAACTGTTGTAAGTAATATCCAGCGTCCATTTTCCTTGTTAGCGAGTTCTCTAATATTGTTGGCAGAAAGCTAGAACCATCATAATAACAGGGCCGTTTGGTTCATAGTTTAGAACAAAAATTTTGAACAGAAATTCGGTATTTTTGTGAGAGAAAACAATGTAAGAAAAAGGTTTGAATTGTGATTACCCACGAAATATTCTGTACTATTTTCTGGGTGATCAATTATTTTTTTTAGACTTTCCACACTTATACTGTATCCTTTTCTACAGCTGGTAACATGCGTCATTTGATAGTTGAGGCTTGTATTGCTAGAAATCTGCTGGACACATCTGCATATTTCTGGCCGGGCTACGTGAATGGACGTATCAGCCAAATACCTCAAGGGGTGCCGGCTCAATTTCCCGGTTGGTCATCATTTCTGAATGGAGCTGCACTTGCACCACTAATGATAAGTGCTTTGGCTTCAAGCCCTGCTTCAAGGTACATATGTACTTAAAATTTTGAATTAACATGTTTAAATATTTCAAATCATAATTTGTTTGTTGCCTCAAGGTGTGTCAGTCTCGTGTTTGTTTTGCGTCTATTTTTGTGGATATGTATGGTTTTACCTTCGTGGAAAAGTGAAATCCATATAGTCGACCCCAATTAAGTTGGGATTAAGGCTTGTTGTTGTTGTTGTTGTATGGTTTTACCTTCGGTCACTAAGTACGAGGCCTTCACAATGTTTCTGGTGGTTCTTATGTACCACAGATTTGAAGGAAACTCCATAATAAATTTTAGATATATTTTCTTTCTTTTACTGTGGCCTGGTCTTCAGTTACTTCTTTTTCTTTCTGAAGCCAGGTATATCAGATGCTCTTTTTTGTAAATTTACTGAAAGGTAAAGCCACTGAAATTAAGCTCATGGATTTGATGGAAGCTTAGCAGAGCTCGAGAAAGTATTTGAGATAGCAATCAAGGGATCGGATGATGAGAGGATATCTGCTGCTACAATTCTCTGTGGAGCCTCGCTGATTCAGGGGTGGAATATACAGGTAATGAGATTGAGTTGTAATACTTAAAAAACATGTTTGGAACTCTGGCTCCCATTAATCAAGGCAAGACTGAAAATTCCTCAATATGTTTTTTTTTCCCCATTTGATGCAGGAACATACGGCTCATTTTATAATCAGATTATTGTCTCCTCCAGTTCCTGCCGATTGTTCTGGGGCTGACAGCCATTTAATTGGTTATGCTCCAATGCTGAATGTGCTCATTGTTGGAATAGCATCGGTTGACTGCGTTCAAATTTTTTCTCTACTTGGCTTGGTATGTACATAGATTTTTACACAAACATAAAGCTTAACTATAACCTTCATAGCATCATGATTGGAAAAAGTATTGCTATTTATCAGCACTGATGATCATCACCATACCTTTTCAACTGATCAGAGATTAACATGTTAACTCTGGGGCCGAAACGTCTTACATATGGATCTCTAATTGGTTAAAAAACTGGTGGTGATGATCACCACTGGTGATAATGAGCACTTTTCAACTAGAAAAGGAATGGTATCGAGCTTTGAAGGATGCAGTTGGTACTAATGTTTTTTTTTTTTTTTTCGAAATTCTTGCCAGGTTCCACAACTTGCTTGTTCACTAATGCCGATATGCGAGGTGTTTGGTTCATGTGTTCCTAATACCTCTTGGACTCTTACAACAGGAGAAGAAATCTCAGCCCACGCAGTGTTTTCCAATGCATTTATTGTTCTTTTGAAGCTATGGAGGTTCAATCATCCTCCTCTTGAGCATGGAGTGGGAGATGTACCCACAGTTGGATCCCAACTTACTCCCGAGTACCTCCTATCCGTGCGTAATTCTCTTCTAGTATCTTCTGGAAATACCTTCAAGGACAGAAACAAAAGGAGACTTTCTGCTGTTGCTAGTTCATCGTCTCCTCAAGCTGTGTTTGTAGATTCATTTCCAAAATTAAAAGCCTGGTATAGGCAGCACCAAGCCTGTATAGCATCAACCCTCTCTGGTCTTGTTCATGGAACCCCAGTTCATCAGATTGTTGACGGACTTCTTAACATGATGTTCAGAAAGATTAATAGAGGAAGCCAGTCTTTAACTTCTGCTACTTCTGGGAGTAGTAGTTCTTCTGGACCTGGAACTGAAGATAACTCACTGAGACCTAAATTGCCTGCTTGGGATATTTTGGAAGCTGTCCCTTTTGTTGTTGACGCTGCTCTAACAGCATGTGCTCATGGAACTCTTTCACCTCGCGAGCTGGCTACAGGTTAGTTCGGCACTCTTAACAAACAAGACCAAAATTCAAGCATAACTCACGACAACAATCATTTAGTTTCTTTCAGCAGTGTGTCTTTCTCAAATCAGTAGTCCTAACCCCTAAGGGTCACCTTTTTTTCTGATTGTAAATTTAGTTCCATGTTTTAGAGACAGAAAACGGAATGAACCATTATGCTTAATGTGGTTCAGCTAACTAGAGATGTTTTTCTATCTCAGGGCTTAAAGATTTAGCTGATTTTCTTCCCGCATCTTTGGCGGGCATCGTCAGCTACTTCTCTGCTGAAGTCACTCGTGGAATTTGGAAACCAGCTTTTATGAATGGAACAGATTGGCCAAGCCCTGCTGCAAATTTGTCCAACGTTGAGCAGCAAATAAAAAAGATCCTAGCTGCTACTGGTGTTGATGTCCCTAGCCTTGCTGCAGGTTCATCTCTTTTATATTTATACACACATATATATATATATATATATATAATATGAGTTTAAGATGCTATATTATATTTTTATTTTTGAGTATGCATGTCACTGGCTGTCTGTGGACGCCTCAGGGAAAAAGTCAGGGAGCTAGGATCATTGGTAGAATGAAAATTATTCCTGACTTCAATGGCATGCCTGCTTGCTGTTTTAGAATGAGCTTGGTTTTATTAAATTGGTGTCTGTGAAAAGTTTTTCCTTTTTTCTTTTCCCTCATCTTTGAAGAGCTGGTTTTTCCAATTGAGCACTTTGACTGAGTTTCTGACTTGTTACTTTCACAGGGGGAACCTCTCCTGCTACACTTCCACTTCCCCTGGCTGCCTTTGTAAGCCTAACAATAACCTATAAGATTGACAAAGCCTCAGAGCGTTTTCTAAATTTGGCTGGCCCCACCTTGGAGATCCTTGCAGCTGGCTGCCCCTGGCCTTGCATGCCAATTGTGGCGTCCCTATGGACCCAAAAGGCTAAACGATGGAGCGACTTCCTAATATTTTCTGCATCTCGCACCGTCTTCCTCCACAACAGTGATGCAGTGGTTCAGCTTCTTAAAAGCTGCTTCGCTGCCACACTCGGCCTGAATGCCACTCCGGTCTCGAGCAATGGAGGTGTTGGAACCCTTCTTGGCCATGGATTTGGAACACATTTCTGCGGTGGAATGTCCCCTGTGGCCCCTGGGATTCTTTATCTACGTGTCTACAGATCAATGAGAGACATAGTGTTCATGACGGAAAAAATTGTCGCTGTCCTGATGCATTCCGTGAGAGAGATAGCATCTAGTGGTCTTCCCAGAGAGAGGTCAGAGAAGTTGAAGAAAACCAAGAATGGAGTTAGATATGGACAGGTTTCACTTGCTGCGGCAATGACTAGGGTGAAACTAGCGGCGTCACTCGGTGCTTCGTTAGTATGGCTTACAGGAGGCTTAGTTCTGGTTCAGTCATTGATCAAAGAAACTTTGCCTTCTTGGTTTATATCCAATCACAGGTCGGAGAACGAACAAGGGTCAGAAGGGATGGTGGCAATGCTTGGGGGTTATGCTCTTGCATACTTCACAGTGCTCTGTGGAGCATTTGCATGGGGTGTTGACTCATTATCAGCAGCGTCGAAACGACGTCCTAAAGTCCTAGGGACCCACTTGGAGTTTTTGGCGAGTGCACTCGATGGGAAGATATCACTCGGCTGTGATGACGCCATGTGGCGTGCTTATGTCTCGGGCTTTGTGAGCCTAATGGTGGGTTGCACACCGAATTGGGTGCTTGAGGTAGATGTGGATGTGTTGAAGAGACTGAGTAATGGACTAAAGCAGTGGAATGAAGTAGAACTTGCTCTGGCTTTGTTGGGGGTTGGTGCGATGGGTGCGGCTGCTGAACTAATAGTTGAAAATGAGAATTAATCTTGTGTAAATTCTTTTTACCCTTTCTTTTTGAATTTTTGGTTCGCGGGGGTAATGTAGAAATCTAGTTATAATTAGGTTGTTAAATAGAGAATTTTTGGTAAAATTTTGTAATGAAGGCTGCCTTGCTCATGATTGCGGGCCATTTTTTGTCTCCCTTTCGGAATGCAATATCATAATCTGTCACTAAGCAAGCATGGTTCCTTGCAAGCCTCTTAAATATAGACAATGCAGACAATGCAGAGTCTAGTTGCAAAATTTTAATCAATGAGAAGATAGGTTTGCCTGCAAACAACAGTTGTTAGCATGGAAGTTCTAGGAGAAATCGTTGTTATTTGACTTATTGTTCTTGCTCTTTTTCATCCCAGGCCATTTTTCGTTGTCATTCCAATCTTCACTAGTGAAAACAAGAGAGAGGAAATTCAAAATCTTGATCATGTAAGCCATTTTTCTTGAGACAAAAATAAGTTTCAACTAATTATCTTTCAATGTCACAAAGCTTTTTAAGGTCTCGTTCACTTCGCGGATTCGAGTTTTCAATTCAAGCTGAGATATGACATTTTTTGAGAGCTTTTCACTGTAGTAGAAAAAATTAAATGTGATATTTTCTGAGAGTTTTTCACTGTAGTAGAAAAAAATTAAATGCGACATTTTTTGAGAGCTTTTTACTGTAAAAACTTAAAACTGAAAACTCGAATCGGTGAAATGAACGAGGCCTAAGTTTCAACTAATTATCTTTCAATGTCACAAAACTTTTAAGAATATTTCCCAAGACCTTTAGTCCATCATACAACGCCGCTACACCCTGGAGATTTCTTCAATCTTTGAACTTGCATGTTTCTTCTTACTAAAAATGCTTCCTCCCACCTACCCACATCTGCATATATGTTGGACAGAAGAACTCTACCTGCTCCATGGGATGGTTCCAACCTCGCTAAATTTTGTGCAGCCCTTTCGCCTACTTCAACGTTCCCATGAGTTCTGCATGCTGCCAATAGCGTGCCCCATATTACTATATCTGCCTTCATTGGCATGCTCTTTATAAGTTCTTCAGCTTCTTCTAATCGCCCAGCTCTGCCTAAGAGATCCACCATACAACCATAGTGCTTGATATCAGGTTCTATGTTGTACACATTCTTCATACTCTTGAAATATCCCTCTCCAGCCCCAACTAAACCAGCATGGCAACAGGCACTTAGTACCCCAATGAACGTGATTGCATTGAGTTTTATGTGACGCCTCTGCAAGTCGGAAAATATTTTGAGAGCTAATTTTGCGTCTCCATGCATGGCAAGTCCACATATAATGGCATTCCATGGTGAGACAGTGGAAATCTTGTCGCGGATTTGATAGAACATTTCCAAGGCAGTATTTACATTCCCACACTTGGCATACATGTCGACGAGTGCTGCACTTAAATTGTCATTAAGAAGGATGGATTTACTGAATATGTATTCATGGGCCCATCTTCCTTCTTTCAATGTGCCTAAAGTAGCAATTGCAGACAAAACACTCACCATAGTAATTTCATTTGCTTGGACCCCACTAGCTATCATTTCATGGAAGAGCTCCAGAGCCTCATTAGGCTGCTCATTCTGCGTATAACCAGAAATCATGGCACTCCATGAGAATACGTCTCTTTCGGGCATCTCATCAAATAACTGCCTTGCTTGGTCGATCATCCCATTTTTTATGTATCCTGCAATAAGTGCATTCCAAGACGCAAGATGATCCTTGATGCCCACTTCAAACTGCAGACGCGCAAGGCTGGTGCTACCACAAGCTGCATAAAAGTTGATAATAGTTGCTTGTATAAAGTCATAACAGTCAAAACCTTCCTTAACAATTACACCATGAATCTGCCGACCCTCTGCAAAAGCCATGAAACGCCCACATGCCGAAACTAAATCAACAACCATAACATCATTAGCTCGCAGTCCAGCGTGCAGCATTGCACAACACATCATTAGAGCTTCACTTAACCTTTCTACTTGCACATAACCATCGATCATTGTACCCCATGAAACCACATCTTTTACAGGAATCCTTTCAAACAATTCTCTAGCTAGATCAACAAGCCCCGCCTTTGAAAACCCATTCAGCATTACATTCCAGGAAACTATATTCCTTTCAGGCATCTCGTCAAACAATGTTTTGGCATCCCCTAGACTAGAACAAGCGCAATACATGTTCAACAAATTAGTTGACACAAAAACAGACCCCAAAAGCTGCAACTTGATAACCAATCCATGAAGCATTCGGCAATCCCAAATCCCGCCAATATGCACACAGGCTGAGATCAAGCTCGCCATCATCACCTGATTCGGGGCAATACCCTCAAACCTCATGTCCTTAAACAATTGAGTTGCTTCCTTCCAACATTCATTTCTTGCAAGGCCCATTATCATAGTAGTATACGAAATACAACCTTTGCCAGGCATAATCTCAAACAGTTGGCGGGCATTATCCAACTGCCCAGATTTAACATACCCAGAAACCATAATATTACACGACACAGTATCGAGCTTAGAACAAGAATCAAACAACGTCCGAGCATCGGAAATGAACCCGCATTTGGCGTACATACTAATCAAGCTGTTGGCAATGAAAGTGTTGGAACCGAGCCCGGATTTCAATACAAGAGAGTGGATTTGTTGGCCCTGAAAGACGGCTGAGAGTGAAGAGCAAGACTTCAACGCCGATACCAAAGCGAGCTCGTAATCGGAGCGGTTTTGGTTCGTGCCGAGACGAAAGAACGTTCGGAGATAGTCCTCCGGGTTTTGAGTGAATTGGGGGAGAGATTTGGTGGTTCCGGTGGAGACCCATCTGAGATGTGGCGGCGGGAAGGGAAAGTGAGGGAAGAAAGGGAAGGTTTTGGGTCGGAATGAGAAGAACATCGGATGACACCATTGCATAACGTTGGAGAGTTTCAGTTGGGATTTGGATCCATTTGAAAGGAGAAATTTGCTAGAATGACAATCCAAGAAATTAGCAAAATGACTTATTCGAAACATCAGGTATTTCTTATTTAAAAATAATTTTATTGTGAACAATATTTATAAATAATATTGTATACGTGAATAATATCGTATATATAAATAGTACTATACGCAGCGTATAAATCTGACAACATAACTATTAAAATAAATAAAAAAATATTATAATTAATAGCGGAGTTTGGCTAAATATTATCTACGTCTCTGGACATTGTGGACCACTCTATTTACTAAAGAAAAAAAATATTACAAATTGCACATAAATTATAAAAAGCTCACAAATTGAAAATCTAAAGAATTTCTTATAAATTTACAAAGGGGAGAAACTCTCAATTTTCAGGATGCAAAACAAATGAAGGGAAGCCTGTGTTTATAGCCTTTGTCTCCCTCTTTTCTAAGCGTAAATCAGCTGTAAACAGATGAGTTCACTTCTTAAATCATCACCATTTTCGATACTCTCTATCTTCTTCTTCTCACTCTCTGACTTTCTCTTTTAGCTTTCAACATAAATGTGCAGTCTATATTTTTAACAATGAGCCACCCATATTAATTAACAAGATCTTTTTTATTTTTTTGGTAATTCTTTATTAAAAAAATAATTATTTTTAATCATTCTGTAATCATTTTGTAAATAAAAATTTAAAAAAAATTATTTTACTAATAAAACTTTCCTATTTAGTCATTTTTACAAGGCCTCATTTGAAGAGAAAGAAAGTCGTTGGCTTATAGTAGTTTAGTCAAATAGACCAAGTTTTGGAGGGAAAGAACGGAAGGGGGTAAATACTTGTTTGCAATTACGTAGTTCATCTTATATTTACAGGTTTTAGTAAAATTTACACTCTCCTCTTGAAAACTACACATCTAGCCCTCACATTCAAACTAATTTTGATTTTATTGACAAATTGTCTTTCACTAGATTTCGTTGACATTATTAACCTCATACAACAAGGACAAATGAGAAAGAATATGAACCCACAAAAGTTCAAACCATCACGTAAATGGTAAACGGGCACAAATGTTTTTAGGTTGTGTTTAATTTTAGTGAGAGGTTAGGTGTGTGTATAAGAATATGGACACGAAAAAAACTTAAATCGTGTTTGTAAACAAGGCTTAAAGGGTACTTTGAGATTTAAAATGTGTGTGTGTTTGTGTCTATATATATATATA